AGCCTTTTACATATCAGTATGAAGAAATGAGTCTCCAAGAAATCAAAGTCACAGCCATTGTTTTGGATTCAAAGGGAGTCACTGGTGGTGTCTCCTCGACCCCTCTGGCATAGACTTTCTAGCTTCCACCCCTGACCTTTGGGCCTTCTTTAAAACAGACTGGTGTGGGTCCTTGTCATGGGCTCTAGACCTCCATTTGGACTTGTGGGAGGCATTGTCATGGGCTGTAGGTCTTCAGCTGGACTCATGCAGGGCGTTGCTGTGGGATCCAGGCCCTTGGCTGGATTTTCTAGGTCTTTAGTGTTATAAAGAGATTTCCTGCACTTTTGTGTTTAACTCTGGGTGACCATCGTAAATAATATTATAAATTCTGTCGCTTGATTGTAATTGTGCTCACAACCCCTGACTACAACAGTGGGCATTTGTCTTCTGACCCTATTCTAGAATCAATCTAGGAGGATCCTACTGATAGCGATATCAGATACTTCCTGAATATTGACCAGGCACTGGATCCTTCAGTAATGCACAGTGAAGGAGCACTTGCTTGAGGCTGTCCCTAGATAATTGGCAGTAGGGTTTTTACTCAGGCCTGTCTGAATTCAGGGTACAGGCTTGTGGTCCCCAGGCAAAGGCAGGGGACCTGTGAGAAATAGTTGAGAAATGACACTGACGATGACCGAGGCCTTAGTGAGGTGCCAGGCCTCTGTAAACACCCCCTCTTGGTTTCCACTCCCATCAGCCTATCTCTCTGAATGAGTGCTGTCATTACTCTATATGCAATAGATACTCTAGCGGTGTCTATGGCGGAATATCAGGGTGGTGAGAAATCTGGGAGGGTGAGAAACTGGTCCAGATTAAGAATCCCACATCTCGGTGCTGGGGATTTAGCTCAGCGGCATAAGTGCCTGCCTTGCAAGCAGGCAGTCGTGAGTTCTATCCCTGGTACCCATAAAAAGGAAAAAGACCAAAAAAAAAAAAAAAAATCCCTCATCTGAAAGTCTGAAATTGAAAATGTTCTGAAACCTCAAACTCTGAGCCCAGCATGACACAAAACCTCAGATTCTCAGGGCAGAGATGCACCGTCACCAGGCAAGTCTATGCAGATGTTTTACAATCTGAAATCTCCCAAATCTCAAACATTTCTGGGCCTAAGCATGCGGGATGAGGAATCAACTCCTCTGTCATAAGCTAAAGTAGAGAAAGAACCCCATGGAATCAGAAATACGGCATCAGCTTCAATCAAGAAATCATCCGGTTGGCATGGCATGCCAACACAGGCAGAATTTCAAGTTTCTCTCTCAAAATAAAAAGCTAAAAGAGCTCGAGGTGTATCTCAGTGGTGGAGTAGCTCACTGCACATGTGTTAGTTCCTTGGTTCAATCTCTGGACCACCAAAAAAGGAAAAAAAAAGAAAGAAAAGAAAGAGGAAAAAAGCAATCAGATTTCACCCAAAGATTTTATAGATAAGCCACAACCCCGAACCCTGGACAATTCAGGGTGCTCTTTTGTTTCTCTCATTTGATTTTTTTTTCTTTATCGTGTTACCTGCTTCTTTGTCATCTACTTTCCAACTTTCTTCCTTTCTGATAATTGTGCTGGCCCTCTCAGATGGCTTCTGAGGTCTGTCCTGTCCATATCAGAGCATTGGTGCTCTCCAGACAACTCAAGACCCAGATTGTTTGATTTGCAGTGCACTAGCTTGGCTGCGCTGGGTGGTGGCCACCAGCACCTCAGAGGGACCCTGCACTTAAGTGGATGCCTGCCAGCTCGGCCACACCCTAGGGCCTGCTGGTCTGCATACCTAACTAGCCAGCAGCAGTGAATAGGTCATTTGAGCATGGCCCAAGCCACAGTGCAACCTTTTCCCCAGACTCTTTGTGGGAGGTGACATGATTTCAGTAGATCCCTGCATCATTAGGAGCAGCTCCAAGTTGACAAGTAAAATGCTGAGAATATTTTCCTTATTCACATTTTTTTTTCAGTAGTGGAATTGAACTCAGGGCCTTTGCACTGAACTGCATGCACTGCTCTTTAATTTTTTTTTTTTGTCTTTTTCTTTTTTATCAGTATCGGGGATCAAGCTCATGACTGCCTGCTTGCAAGGCAGGCGCTTAGGCCACTGAGCTAAGTCCCCAGCCCCGCCTTTTTTAAAATTTTGAGATAGGGGCTTGCTAAATTGCCCAAGCTCAAACTTGAGATCCTCCTGCTTCATCCTCTCAGAGTGCTGGAGTTCGTTCCATCATGCTAGGCTGAAGCCTACAATTTATATAGCCATAGGGTGGTTATAGATTAAAGTACATACTTGTTTTGAGGCCTCTTGTGTGGAAAAGCCTTTTTCCACAAATAACTCTTTTTTTTTTATACTGGCCTATTTCTGTTCAAAGTTCTGCAGCCATGGATTTTTCCCTTTGACAAAGCATTGCCCTCCTCACATTCTTCTTTCTAAAAGAGGAATCTCTGGGGGAGGTAGCACAAGAAATTATTGTAATATGAACAGCTGTTGGATATAGTTTTAATTTTCTTTTTTTCTGAGACAGGGTCTGGCTAGCTGTATAGTCCAGGCTGGTCTTGAACTCACTAAATAGCCCAAACTGAGCCCAAACTCAGGATCCTTCTATCTCTTGAGTGCTGTTATTATAGGTGTGAGCCCCTACGGTTGGCTAAAGATGTGTTTTTAAATTGAGAGATAACCAGATGTATGTATTTGTAGGCTATGCTCTGCGTGTGTGTGTGTGTGTGTGTGTGTGTGTGTGTGTGTGCATGTGTGCTTACATATGCTGGGGATTGAACTGAGATGGGGATTGTGCATGCAGGCATGTGTTCTACTGCTGAGCCACATTCCCAGAGAGGTATATTTTCATCAAAGGGGAGATGGTATCTTGGGTGCTGTGGTACCAACAACGGAGGGTATCTCAGGAGACAAGAAAGAAATTAAGAAATATGAGGAGAAGCCAGTCATGGTAGCACACACCTGTAATCCCAGCACTTGGGAGGCTGAGGCAGGAGGATCGCTGTGAATTCCAGGCCAGCCTGGCCCACACAGTGAGTTCAAGGCCAGTCTGAGCTATGTAGAGAAACCCTGTCTTGAAAAAAGAAAAAACAAAAAAACAAAAAGACAAGTAGATAGGTAGATAGGTAGGTAGAACCCAAGATAAGGCCGAGCAGTTTAGTAAGTGCTTCCAGCATGCCTGGCATTTTTCTGAGTGCTCCACTAGACTTAACTCATTTAATTACCTAACAGCCCACTAAATAGATACTGCTAGCATCCCATTTTATAGGTGAGGAAATGGAGGCTAACAAATGGTAAGTTGCCCAGTGCCACACAGCCAGTAAGTAGATCCCTAAGTTAAACTGAAACCAATATTTCTTATTTTTCAGTATGATATGTAGTATGATAAATAAACAGTGTTTACATTCTTAAAAAAACAAGTGTTACAGTAAAAGACATTGCCATTAGTCCCCCTGAAAACACTCTCCCTGGCTTCAAATACACTTAGCCCGTTGTCCTTGCCACGTTCTGGAGCAGTTCTGGAGGTCTTTTGTGAGTGTCTAATTAAGTTGTGCCACTGTGGCTGCCTTGGTGTCCTGAACGGATAGCAAATATTTACCTTTCATGGTCATTTTGACTTTGAGGAAGAGCCAGAAGCCCTGTGGTGCCACATCTGGGGAATAAGGCTGACTCAGACCCAGCGGTTATAAGAAATGTGAGGAGAAGCCAGTCATGGTAGCACACACCTGTAATCCCAGCACTTGGGAGGCTGAGGCAGGAGGATCGCTGTGAATTCCAGGCCAGCTTGGGCCACACAGTGAGGTCAAGGCCAGTCTGGGCACGCAGCGGCAGCATTCACTGTATTTTTGATCGTACCTCATAAAGACATTCAGGAAAGAGGACTGCTTCAGAAGGCACAGACAGTGGGGAAGTGTGTTTGAAGTGAGGGAGAATATTTTGAGGTGGGTCATTGACAACGTGTCTTTTCTGGTCATTCATTCAAACACACAGTATGTCTGGATCAGCCCATGTGTTATGCTGGGGTCCCCCAGGTTCCGTGATTCTGAAGCAGGACTCATAGACATCAGCATGTGTCATTTATTACAGCAGTAACAAAATCAGCAAGAGGGAAAAGCACGTGAGATGAAGCCTAGCGGAACAAAGCAGGAACTTGCACAAGTCACCTCCTCGTGGGGTTTCACAGGACAGTGTTAGATCCTCCAGCACTGAGTACGATGACACATGGCAGAGACCTGCCAGGGTTCAGAGCCCACGGTCTTCGTTGTTGTTTTATTTTTATTTTTATTTATTTGTTTTTTATTGGGAGCTGGTCTGTCTACTGCATACCAAAATCCCAGATTCACTGGAAGGAATGGAGTTCAGCAGTTAACGAGGGGCAGTGAGCCATTTTTTAATCCGTAATGAGACTGGTGGAAATTTATGTCCCTAAACATCACCAAGGGCTGACCTTGGACACCAGGCTCAGGTTTGCTGTGTTGGTCTTTTCTGCCCAAACATATTTTCTATTATATGATTTTTTTTCCCCTCTTGCAGTATTGGGGATTGAACCCAGGTTTTTTGGTGGTTTTTTTTTTTTTTTTTGCACTGAGATATATCTACAGCCCTTTTTAAAATATTTTATTAGAAGACTAGGTCTCATTGGGTCACTAAGTTATCGAGGGTAGGCTTGCACTTGTGATCCTCCTGCCTCAGCTTCCAAGAAGTGCTGGGCTTGTGGCATGCATCTGTACCCCTGGCTCTGTGTTGTTTTTAAAAAAAACTTTCTGTATTCTATAACGATCTGCTTCCCTGGTTAATCTCACAGGATCCTCTGGGAGCAAATGAGAGAACGTGGCGTCGGGGTCCTTAGCACCCCATTTGTAGCCCAGAGTCTGGTGGGCGCTGCTTTCTGTCCCGGCTGCTCCCTGACCTGTCAGGTGTCTGCTGGAATGGGTTGGTGGCCCAGGTGAATGCACAGGTAATTCATGCCACTCTCTCCTGTCTTTCCCAGGTGGCCCCGACCACATCGAGGTCAACATCTCAGCCACTGGCACGCTGGCCAATGGCACCCTGTACGTGGTCAAGGGCTCCCAGGTGGACTTCAGCTGCCGCAGCAACGCACAGCCCCCGCCTGTGGTTGAGTGGTGGTTCCAAGCCCACTCTAGCCCCGAGTCCTTCGGAAGCAACCTGACGGTCACCTGCTTCACGCTGCTATTGATGTCCCAGAACCTTCAAGGGAACTACACTTGTCTGGCCACCAGCATGCTGAGCGGGAGGCAGCGCAAGGTGATCACCGAGCTCCTGGTCTACTGTGCGTAAGAAGCACTCCCCACCCCCCCTTCCCCTTGCCCCTCCACCTCCCCACTGTGCATCTAAGCCTCTTTTTTTCCTCCTAAGAGGCATCGCCTGCTGCATGGGCTGAGCCATAGAGGGAAACAAACACTGAGCCTCATGCATTCTTTTTTCATTTTAAAAACAGGTGAAACTGAGCATGATGGCACACGCCTGTAATCCCAGCACCCTGGGAGGCTGAGGCAGGAGAATGGCAAGTCTGAGGCCAGCCTGGAAAACTTAGCCAGACTCCCTCTCAAGATAATAAATAAAAGTGGGCTGGGAGGTAGCTCAGGGTGAAGGCCATGGTTCAGTTCCCAGTACTATAAAAAGCAGCAAAGTGAAAGGATGTACAATTTATTGGCATTTAGTACGTTCACAATACTGTGCAACTGCCACCTCTGTGTAGTGTTTAGGTGGCGCATGGTTTTGGAGTTTTCAGTCCGTGACCCAGGGGACCTGTTGCTTTGGGCCTGTGGTGACAACATGTAGTGAGAGTGAGTGGTGAGGGAAGCCCGTTCTGTTCATCTCACCGGCAGGTACAAAACAGGCACAGGACGGGGAAGGGGCTGGACCCCCACAACCCCCTCAAGGGCACAGCCCCATCTCTTAGTTCCTACCTCCTCCTGGTAGCACCGGGCTGGGGACTAACCCTTCCTCTCAGTGGGCCTCTGGGGGACATTCCACATGCAAATTATAGCAGATTTCAAAACGATTTCATTGTCTCAAATGGAAACTCCCAGGTGACAGAGCAGTCACGCCCACCTTGTCTTCTTCTCAGCCCCTGACAGACTCAGATTTGCGCTGCACCTCTGTGGGTGGCTCTCTCCTGGATATTTCCCATGAGTGGATCATAACGATATGTGGCCTTTTGTGTCTGGCTTCTCTTGCTTTGCATAATGTGTGCAAGGGCTGCAGGGGAGTCCCTGTGAGCTGCGTTGTACCGAGTATCAGTACTCTATTTCTCCCCATGGCTGAGTAACGTTCACGGCATGGAGACACCGCCGTCCACTCCTTCATTCATCTGTCTGTATCTGTGTTCTCCAGAAGCCCAGTGACCCTCTCCAGCAGTTTATTTTGGGGGTGGGAAAACACCCACCAATGACTCCTAGATGCAAATATCTTGGCTATGAGCTGCTGCAGAAATGCCAAGTACACTTATAATGCCTGCTAATGAAAGGGAACGCGGGAACCAGGAGTGAGTGGGCAGGATAATGACACATTGCTTAATTTGTATGTTATCCAGAGCCTTTGTAAGCCTCTGTGTTGTTTAACATAAATGACATTTATAGCACATAAAATGACACGTACTTGTAGAAAATGACAGCTGAGCCAAAAGAATAAAAGAATTGTTCTAACCATTATTTTTGGTATTTTTTCCAGTAATTTTTCTTGTCAATGTTACATGTCCATCCATTCATATAAAATTCAATTTTTCTTTTTTTCTTTTTAGTTTTTTTGAGATAGGACCTCTGTGCTCTACCACACCTGGCCCAAATTTATTTCTTGGGCTGGGGACATAGCTCAAGTGGCACAGAACCTGCTGGCTAAGCATGTGGCCCTGAATTCGATTTCTGGTACCAAAAAATAAAGAAAAAAATTGTTTGTTTTTGTTGAGGCAAGGTCTTACTCTAGTTTATGCTGGCCTTGAATTCATTGTGTAGTGCAGGCTGGCCTCAGACTCCTGGTGACACTCCTGCCTCAGTCTCCCAAGTACTGTCAGATTTGTTTCTGTTTCTATGACATGAAGTATACAAACACGTATAGCAAATGTACATATCATACTGCATGTGTGGGAGGTGGGATGCATATCTTCCCGGCTGTGGAATCAGCATAGCCTTCATTTGCCCTTAGCCAGAGGCAACCCCTGCCAGTTTCGAGGACCAGCACTGTGCAGTGGAACCTTCTGTGATACCGGAAGTGTCTTGGTCTGTGGGGCCTAATCCAGCAGCTGACGGATGCCTGGGCACTGAAATGTGGGCCGTGTGATGGATGAACCACATTTGCAATTTTCATGTAAACAGCCACGCCCAGAGGGGGTGAAATGTGAGCTATTCCCTAAAGATTTAACACCCAGCTGAAGAACCCTGACAGTTGTAGGTGCTCGTCTGTGCTAGGTTTGTGCTTGGTGCTGTTTTGAAGTAGACTCCCATGGCAGGTGCCCACTCTTTAACCCTGAGTGCCAGCCCGGCAGCTGCGGATCTCTGAGTCTGCCGTTGAGCCCCTGTTCCCTTCTGGTGTGTTGCAGCCCCCCCTCCGTCACCTCCGCAGTGCTTGGCAGAGACGGCATTGGGATCGTCTGCAGTGCAGCTCACCTGTCGCTGGGATGGGGGTTACCCTGACCCCAACTTCCTGTGGACAGAAGAGCCAGGAGGGGCGATCGTGGGGAAGTCGACGCTGGGGGTGGAAATGGTAAACCAGTCCCAGCTGTGGGATGGCAAGAAGTTCCGATGTGTGGGGAGCCACATCGTGGGGCCAGAGTCGGGAGCCAGCTGCGTGGTACAGATCAGTAAGTCCGCCTCACTTTGTCCTGGGTTGGGGTTCGCCTGTCTTCCTTTCTTCTGAGAGGATCCTTTGAAAGTAGTCCTGGGGAAGAAACTCCAGTGCTTCCAAGTGAGCTGAATTCGTTGCCTTTTTTCCTGCCTTCCAAACATTAAAGATGCCCCACAAGATGCTGGGACTGCTGGGACTACTGTGCCCTGTTAGCCTGGCTTCATTTCTCCCTAAATGTAGCGTTTAGGTCACCTCACAATAAGCTGCCACCTTAGCCGGTGCAGTGTGTGAAGGTCCCAGTCTTCTGTCCTCTTGCAGATCTCCGAGGGACCCTCCCTGTTTTGCAGCCACTTAGTCACCTTTGCCCACAGCAACCCCATAAGCTAAACTCTCTAGTTGCCACGCTGGTCACATATGGGTGACCCAGCTTCTTAGGCGAGAAGTGTCTGTTTGGCAGAAGTATAGTCCTACACATGAGATTTGTTTGGGCCCAGAGGAAGGGCTGCCAGGGGGATTGTTTGAGGATAAGGAGGAGCATTTCTGAGATGTTGGTTTGGGAGCCCCAAAACAGATACACAGGAATGAGGTTTGTTACTGCTGCTGGTCCCAGAGGAAACTGGTGTGAACCCTGGAGAGGGAAAGCGTGATTTGGCAGCGTGCAAGGAACCTGATGGTTGATCCAAGAGGCAGGTGTCCCCTGTGAGTTTCCAAAGAAGACTCATGGTAGCCGGGACAGGTTCTCTTCTGTTGACCAGACAGAGGGGAGAGGAGAGATGGATAACCTATTTCTGTTTCCTCAGCCTGGCTCCTCTACCTCTCTCTTCCTCTTCCCTCTTCCAAGGTGCAGCTATGCAGCCCTAGGTCCTCCTTTGGAACAGCTGCGAAGGGGAATGGGTGTCACTGTCCCAGGCAGGATCCCAGTTTGCCACTGTCTGTCCCTCAGATGCCAGAAGTGTGCATTTTATAAATCCCCCACAGTGAATCTGCTACCCTGCCTGGAGGGGGTGCATTTGGAGACAAGGCTTCTTGTGCACTGAGAACAAATGGCTCACTAGGGCGGTCCTTGTAGCTGCCTGTGCTCTGCTCAGATTGGGCCCTCAGGGCACAGGCATGCCAGGGTCTAAATTGTCCAGGGCAGATTCTCAGAAGTCCATGTGATGACCCCCAGAATCTGTGAATATTACCTTAGGAGGTGCGAGACTTTGTCAGTGAAGTTAAGGATGTTTGTGTTGGGGACATTACCTGGATTGTCCAGGCAAGGAACCTTATCAGAAGGAGACAGGTCTGAGTCATCTGCAGCTGATGCACCACAGAAGCAGAGTTTGGAATGACACTCGGAAGGGGCCAAAAGAGTACAGACAGCCTCTAGGAACCCAAGAGGCAAAGAAACTGATTCCCCCTAGCATATCCAGAAGGAACCGGCTCTGCCAGTGCCTTGATTTTAGCCCAGAATATTCTGACTTCTGACCTCCAGAACGTAGGTGAACATATTTATTGTCTTAAACCACTAAGCTTGTAGTAATTTGTCACATCAGCAATAGGAAACAGAGATAGCTACCCTGCTGTCCCCTGGAACACCTTGCCGGGCCATGTGTCTGTATTTTATGTGATCAGTGTGGTTATTTCCAGTAGCATAGATGTAAGATTGTGGGTTATAAGGCCTGAGTGCTTGGATTCTTGTTTTACCTAGAAAAAACAGTTTATTTTGCTTTGGTCAGAATTTTCCTGCTTTTAGCACTGGGAAAGCCCTACATCTCAGGGTCTGCTGTACAGTGTTGGGTACAGTAGGGCAGTTGTTCACTCTAAATTCCAGTGATGTAGCATGCTTAGTTGTGTGAATTCGAGCAAGTTGCTTAAGTTTCTGTGTGCCTGAGTTTACTTCCTATGGATGAGGACAATAACAGGGTTGTTGTGAGGATAAACTGGGTAATACATGTGAAAGCACCCAGCACATAGTAAATGCTCAATAAATGTTAGCATTTATTCTGTAGGACCTGGTATAGTATAGAAATACCTAGAGTTGCTTCATTAGGAAGGAAATAATATTCTTGACAATCTCAAGCCATGGCTTACATTTCCTAAACATTTGTCTTTTTTTTTTTTTTTAACCTTCTCCTGATCACCAGGGATGCCCTCCCTTTTCTCTGACCCCATGAAAACTTGCTTTGTGGGGGGCAACGTAACATTCACCTGCCAGGTATCTGAAGCCAACCCTCCTGCCACGATCCAGTGGCTGAGGAACCTGACCCAGCCCGAGGTGGTCATCCAGCCTGACAGCCGCTACCTCATCACCCAGGATGGCCAGAGCTCCACCCTCACGATTCGCAATTGCTCCCAGCACCTGGACGAGGGCTACTACGTCTGCCGGGCTGAGAACCCCGTGGGGACAAGGGAGGTGGACATCTGGCTGAGTGTGAAAGGTAAGTGACGGAAAGCAGGAGGGTCGAGAGCTTCGGGGGCCCCAGTGCAGTGTGAGGACAGCATGGTCCCCCACCTGGGCCATTGCCAACTGTATACCTATCTGTGGTTTGATGAGGTGACCACAAAACCTGCTGTCCAATTCTAAAAGCACTAACATTTGCATGGCAGACCAAAAACTTATGCAGTGTGTCCTGTACACTGATGAATGTATATGTAGTATCTGTAAGTTGGGATGTGTGATAGTAAAATGAATACCCAAAAGAATCATGTTAAGATACACTAATGAAGTGACCTGTGGGTAGTGCAACCACGTTTAGAAAATAACAACCAAAAATGCTTCAGTTTGAATTTTAGAAAAACAAAGAATTTTTTAAAAGGATCAATATGTCCCAAATAGTGCATAGAACATACTTATGCTTAAAAATTATTATTCATCTGAAATCCAGATTTCAGCATGCCTCCCATATTTCACCTACAATCCTATATGGAGGCTTCTTCCCAACTCCTCCTGGGAAGAAAGTAACTACTGAAAAACAAAACAAAACAAAACAACAGAAGTTAACTGCTACCCAGAGTTTCCTGTTTTATTTTTTAAAAAAGATTTTATTATGTAAGTGCAACTCTTTTGTTACTGTGACAAATTACCTGAGATATATAAGTTAAAGAAGGAAAGGTTTATTTTGGCTTATGGTTTCAGAGGTTTCAGTCCATAATCACTTGGCCTCTGTTTGAGCCTTTGGTGAACCTCAGTGGCAAGATGGGGCAAAGCTGCTTACGATAATGATGGCCACAAAGCAAAGAGGAGAGGCTGGGTCCCAACAGAACCTTCCCGGGTGCACTCTCTGTGATCTTACTTCCTCCATCTAGGCCTTCCCTCCTAACGTTTTCATGGTCTTCCGGTCACCTGGGAACCGAGTCTTTACGTACTAACTTTCGGGGTGCATTTAAGATCTAAAGCACCATGAGTGCTAAACTCTGATTGGAAAAAGAGAAGATCTAAACTGTAACAGTTCGGATCTCTAAATAGTGTTTATTCTTACTTATTTCCAGTCGTCATGGTTACATATCATATGAAACCATGGACATAGTAGCAAGCTCAGTGGGCTCCAGGGATCAGAGAGGATGAGGTTAAACTGAAGGAGCTCGGGAGATTTTAGGGCAGGGGACCCAACTGTGTGATGTGATGGTGACGGATACCTGCAGTCATTCTCCATCCCTCTGAACCTGAGGATGGAGAACACCACGGTGTTCTGTGAGCTGTGGTGTGCTGGTGTAGCTTCATCAATTGGGACAGATGTACCATGGGATTCTGACCATGAGGGACGGACCATGGGCATGTGTGCGAGGAGACACAGGAACTCTACTTTCTGCTCAGATTTTGTTACGAACCTAAAACTCCTCTAAGTTTTTTTTTCTAAAAAAAATTGTTACCTGCATACCCGGTGTTTTGCGACTCGCCTGTTTCACCCGTGTTTCGTTTCTGGGATTTATTCATGTCAGTGGGTGTCATTATACTTCCATACCTCTTGACCGCTGCGTAATTCTCCACTGTCTCATCTTTCCACAAGTAAGTTATTCATTGTCCTGCCGATGGATGTCTGTGTTATTTCTCATTTTTGCTGCTGCTGTTGTTATGATAACAGTGTTGCTATGGACATCTTTTACCCAGCTACTTATGTATGTGTATACCAGGTACCCAGACAAATCTTCCTCTAGGATATTTATAAGGATTATGAAGGATGCGCATTTTAATCTTTATGAGGTAATACCAAATTATTTTCGTTCCAAGCAGTATGCAAGACTGGCGATTTTCTTCCACATTTTTTTATCAGCCAGTTTTGTAATTGTAGCGTGGTGGTGCATGCCTATAATGCCAGCATGTGGGAGGCTGAGGCAAGAGGATCACCATGAGTTTGAAGCTAGCCTGGGATACATACAGAGTTCAAGGCCAGCCTGAACACATAGCAAGACCCTGTCTCAAAACAAAACAAAAACCAAAGCCTGAAAACTAAAAAATCACTGTGGTTCTAAGTTGAGTTTCTTTGATTACTAACATGGTTTTGAACATCATTTCTTTTTTTTTGAGACAGGGTCTCATTAGTGGTGCAGCCTGGCCTTGAACTCACTTGTGTAACCAGGCTGGCCTCATACTCTTGGTGATCCTCCTGTGTCAGCCTCTCGAGTGCTGGGATTACAAGCATGGGCCACCACAACTGGTTTGGGCATCATTCTTACTTTTGTTTACTGTTTTTTTCCTTCTGAGTAATATGTATTGTTGTCTTGACATTTCTGTTTTCCAATATATGTGCAATTCTTTAGAAATTCCTCATACTAATTCCTTGTTAGTTTTTACATGTTGCAAAAATACTGCCCTCTATTAGTTTATTGTGTTTTCCACTTTGATTTCTTAAAACAAAACTTGCTACTGATTAGCCGGATATCTGTCACATACTTATAATTCCAGCATGTGGGAGGCCAAGGTAGGAGGATCACAAGCTCAGCTCCCACCTGGGCAATTTAGCAAGACCCTGTTTCAAAAAAACAAAACAAAAACCAAAGCAAAATGCCTAGGGATGTACCTCTAACTCAGTACAAAAATCCTGGGTTCAACCCCTAGTACCACAAAAGAAATGCTAATGATGTAAAAAATATTTCAAAAAATCAACTACATGACGATGAGGACATCTACTCAAGGACAGGAGTAGATAAGCTCCCGGCCAGCCTGAACTACCTAGTGAGACCCTGCCTCACACCACACCAACCAACCAAACAAACAACAGCAGTTCTATTCCAGAGTCACAGAGATGTTTTCTTCTATAACTTTTAGCATTTGACTTTCATAGTTGTCTTTTTTGTAAATTGTCATTTTTGTAAATGGCAAGAGGCGGTGTAGATAAGTTTTATTCTTTTTTCCTCCTCCAAATTTTGGTAACTGTTTGTCCCAGGACCATTTCTCAAATGTTGTTTCCTTCCTTCACTAATCTGTCCTACATCATGTCTCTACATGGGCCTGTGTGCATTATATTTGTTCTATTATTGCTCTTTTTACCATGATACTAATAATATATACTTTTACTTGCCTTGACCTTAAAAGCAGTCTTGATAGTTAGGTATGGTAACACATGTCTGTAATCCTTGCACTCTGGGAGGCTGAGGCAGGACAATCCTAAGTTCGAGCCCAGCCTGGGCATTTTAATAAAAAACAAAGCAAAAAAAAAAGAAGCCAAGGCCCTGGATTCAATATCCAGTAAGTCAAGTCAGTCTTGCAGCTGGGTGGAGTGGTGCGTGCCTGTAATCCTAGCACTGGAGGGGATACCGAGGCAAGGTTGATTCCAAGGGTAAGGTCAGCCTGGGGTACAAGGTGAGATCTGGTTCATTTTGAGCTACATGTAAGACCCTGTTTCAAAAACAATGAACAACGAACAAAATAGAAACAACAACAATAACAGAAGCCAGTCTGGAGTGCTGTTCGTGTCGGTGGCAGGGATGGGTCCCTGGGCATCGCAGATCACCCCAGCCCAGTGCAGAAATTTGAGCTTTCCAGGGATCTTTCACTGGGCCCTTCACTGGATCCCCACAGACTTTCTGAAGTGTTTACTTGTGTTATAGAAAGATCTCAGGTTTTGCTTAAGCTCATAAGACAAGAACTGGACGGACTTGGTGAGGGTGGGGCTTTCTCTCCTAGCCGCACATGTGGAAGACTCAATGGTGTAATTTGTCGTTACAGAGCCTGTAAACATCGGCAGCATTGTGGGAATCATCGTCAGCCTCCTGCTGTTGGGACTGTTCATTATCTCAGGGCTTCTGTTGTATTATAGTCCTGTATCCTGCTGGAAAGGTAAGGCCTTCTTGGATCCCTCTGCTTCTCTTTGAAGCTTCTTAAAAACATGTGGGTGGGAGGATGAGGCCACTGTATACTCAGTTCCACCATGCAGTCCCATCCTATAGAACCTTCAGTCAAAACATGGAATAAGAGCTAGGCCTGGTATGCACAGCTGTAATCCTAGTACTCAGGAGGCTGAGACAGGAGGATCACCACAAGTTTGAGGCCCGCCTGGTGAGTTCAAGATCAGCCTAAACTAGAGTGAGATCTTGTCTCAGAAAAAAGAACCCCATTGAATAAGGCACCTAAATATGTTCCTTAATACCCTGTCACTTTTCATGTTGGGTCAGTTTTTCAACAGTTGATCTTTTGTAAACGTCAGTTTGATTAAAAATCTTTGTGAGCTGGGCATGGTGGTATGTGCCTGTAATACCAGACACTTGGGAGGTCTGGAGACAAGGTGAGGCAAGAGGATCTGAAGTTCAAGCCTACCTGGGCAACTTACAGAAACACTGCCTCAAACTCACAAAGATTTAAAAAGGGCTGGGGGTATGGCTCAGTGGAATGCTCCTAGGTTTGATCCCCATTACTGTGTTGGCGGGGGAGGGAAGTGGGATTTTGTGAGATTTTAGTGGAGTTGCTGGCTATTAATTTTTTTTTCCTTTCTTCTTTTAGTAAGAAGCACTTTCAGGTGAGTGTTTTCTAGACTTGAATAAAAGAAAAACCCATTTTTGTAATTTATTTTTACTGCTGTGTTTCCTGCCCTGAGAACAATGATAACCATGCCCATCTAGTACCCACATTGCCTGAGTCTGGTTCAGGAGCTTTTGAGGCATTCTTCTAAACCCTGTGTCACCTCATCAGGGTGGCATTCCTTTTCCTCACAAGGAGATAGGCGCTCAGTGAAGCATTTTTTTTTTTTTTTTTCCAGTATCAGGAATTGAACTCACAGCCTTGCACTTGGCAGGCAAGTACTGTGCTGTTGAGCTATATATCCTTGGCCCAGGGAAGCAATTTTTGCAAGTTCATTCCGGATGTAGATGCAGTATCTGCCTTTTGACCCAGCTCTGATTGAGTCCAAAGTCTGTATTCTTTTATGATGCCAAACCTCAGGGCTGGGCCCACTGTGGGCCTGTTACTGAAACAGGAACACAGTGTGTGCGTATTGAACCCAGTCATTCATACACTTGTTTTATTGAATTTTCTAAAAAAAGAAAAAAAAACAGTCAATGAAGAATAAGTCATAGGCTTATGAATATTTTAGAAGGCTAGTCTGATCATGCCCAGAATTCCCCACCCTCAGAGAGGATCCCAGTAAGGACAGAGTAACCTGATGGAATTTGTGTATTTCTTCTTCTAAGGAGCTTCTCCATGGGAATAAAGAACTCAACTCTTTTCTTCTCTGTGGACAAGTAATTTTTCTTTCCTCATTCCTGGTGATGGGCTATTTTTGTTTTAGGATCATTTTTTACGGGAAATCATCCCTCTGTGTTTGAGTCAGACACCTTGTGGTTGAGCGAAATATGCCATTTCACCAAGGAGATAGTAGTGTATGGTGCTGTGGGAAAAGCCTTTGGAATCTGTGGGAAATTCCTGACCCTTTCTGAGGCTCGTGCCCTTACCTACTTCAGACAGGGATGCTGGCAGGACAAAATGTGATTGTAACTCTCCTAAGACTGTGATTGGGCTATAGAACACATTCTTTCTTCCCTAAGTAAGAAACATACCAGGCTAGGCAGGCAAAGCTAGCAGTAAACTAACTACAAAGCAATTCAGTGCTAAGCCACTGGGCATGGACTCCAAATGCAGTTATAGCTCAAGGCTTTAGGCGGAGGGCTAGCACTTTACCTGGGTCTTGAATAATTAGGAGTGGAACAGAAATAATATTTCAGAAAGAACATACCTTGTTATGATATAGATACAGATTTAGATACAGAGGCGAGGGGAACTGGAATGATGGATGCCTGGGACTGCATGGCCATCTGCCCAAGAATAGGGAAGAATATCATCTCTGACAGTCTGTAGCTGTATGTCTTTTTTTTTTTTTTTTTTTTTGGTACCGGGATTTGAACCCGGGACCTTGTACTTGCCAGGCAGGCACTGTGCCACTGAGCTATGTATCCCTGGTTGTATGCCTTTGTGAGGTTACAGCCATACCATCATCTCATGACTTGATCACAGTGAGTGCAGGAAGAATCTTCCAGAGTATTCAAAGGGCTGCAAAGAATACAGTGGCCTGTTCAGTGAGCGATGATATTGAGGGGGAAGAAGACATCTGCTCTATTACTTTCTCTCCTTTGGAAATTAGGCGACAAGACATGGGTGATGTCATGGTCTTGGTGGACTCAGAAGAGGAAAAGGAAGATGAACAGGAGGATGCTACAGAAGAGGAGGCAGAGGAAGAAGAGACACAGAGAGAGGAGCCGCCAAAAGAAATGAAGAAGCATGGCCACATTCACAGAGTGACTGCACTGGTGAACGGAAACTTAGAGCAGATGGGAAACGGGCTCCAGGACCTGCAAGGTAAGCTCCTTCCCTTCCACTGTGATTCCTGCAGGGAACTTCCTAGCAGAAGTCCAAGAGCTGAGCTGGGATTTTTAAAGGCTGGGGAAGACACTGATCTAAAATTTAGTGTAGAATCTGAAAGCCTAGGGCCAGGGATTTAGCTCAGTGGTATAAGTGCCTGCCTGCGAAGCACAAGGTCGTGAGTTCAATCCCCAGATCTCAGTATTAAAAAAAAAATTGCTGGGGATTTTTCTCAGCGGCATAAGCACCTGCCTTGCAAACAGGTGGTCGAGAGTTCGATCCCTGGTATAGATTCTCAAATCAGAAATCCAAAATGTTCCAAAATGCAAAACCCTTTGACTGCTGATATGATGGTTCACTGTTTACCAACTTTATTTCATGAGTAATATTATAAAATATTGTATAGATTTACCTTTTAGACCCAGGCATGCCTATAATGCATGCCTGTGATGCAAGCCTGTAATCTCAGCACTGAGGCAAGAGGATTACCAGTTTAAGACCAGCTGTCCAGTGAGACCTTGTCTCAAAAAAAAAAAAAAAAAAAAAAAAAAAAAAAAAAGGATAAATAAGTTATCTTCAGACTTATGTGTATAGGGGAATATGTGAAACCTAAGTGGAGCTCATGTTTGGATGAGTGTCATTGTATGTATGAAGTATTCCAACTCTGATATCCCAAACACTGCTGGTCCCAAGAATTTTGGGTTAGGGATACTTGACATATAAACTACCAATACTGGAATGAAACTGACGGTTAAAGTCTGCTCTGGGAAAGGGACAGTATGGTCACTCTTGAATAGAGAAGACCAATTGTGTTGATGTGCAGGGGTACTTTATTCACAAGGGCAGATGGGATTGAGGTAATGGTGTGGGGGAAATTGAGATGGGGTAAGATTTAACTAACTCTTTGAGATGGCAGTACAAGAGTGGTCCCAGGGGCAGTGTGATAAATTGCCTGATGGCTGATATGTTTAAAATTCCAGGGTCTCACTTGGTGTGATGGTGCATGCCTATAATCCCAGCACTCAGGAGGCTGAGGCAGAAGGGTCACCAAGAGTTCAAGGCTAGCCTGGGCTACATAAGTTGTAGGCTGAAATACATAGTGAGACCCTGACTCCAAAAAAAAAAAAATTCTGGGACTTCAAAGAAAGATAAGAAGTGGAAGGAAAGCACTGATCAGGAGCAGCTTGTGGAAGAGGTGGCTCTGAGGTAAATCTGTACAGACAGTTTGCTTCAGCAGAGAGGGGACAGGCTGCCTGTAATCCCAGCACTCAGGAAGCTGAGGTAGGAGGATCGCCATAAATTCAAGGCCTGCCTGGGCTACATGGTGAGTTTAAGACAAGCCTAGATTACTCGTGTCTTCACATTCCAGGGGAGGGCAGGAGCCTGGAGCATGACGGGTAAGCACTGAGCATGTCTGCAGAGTTTTGGTTAAAAGAACAGGCAGATGTATACTCTGTCTCACCTTCTCCTTCTCCATGAAATTACATTCTGTGGCTCACTGGTAAAGAACTAGAATCACTCAGATGACTGAAACAGTTTTATACTAGTAAGATCGGTCAGAAACAGGCGCAGTGGTGCATACCTATAATCCCAGCACCCGGGGAGGCTGAGGCAGGAAGACTGCAAGTTGGAGCCTGACATGAGTAATTAGGTGACTTCGACTTCTCTCTAAAAAATCATTTAAATGGATCTGTTTTTCCCCTGGACAGATGACAGCAATGAGCAGCAAAGTGACAATGTTCAAGAAGAGGACAGGCCAGTGTGAAGAAGACTGCCCACCACTGTCTTGTCTTGAAAGCTTGGAAAGTTCCACTGAAGATGAGCTCTTCATCAGCTTTGTCTGGACTCCCACCGCTGCCCAGGAGCTTGCATTAGGGACAGCTGCAGTCCCTCAGCAAACAAGAAAAACAAACACACATCTTTCCTCCCATTTTAAAAAAAAAGAAACAAACTGGCTTAATTTGCTGTAAGTTTTCTTAACAATGTCCAAAAGCTTCAGGAAGGAGTGGCACATGTGGGAAAGGCCCAGCTGGCACTCGAGGTGCCATTTTGCTGTGGCTGCTGGTGCTGTGCGTGTTTACTTAGCAACAGGCCCTGACATGGACAGAGCACAGCTCAGGGGAAGCGCTTGGTCTCCGTGCCCTTTGCCACTCTTTGAAGATTGGTAACCAGCTTGTCCCAGCACAAAAGGGAATACTGTGTCAGAAGACAGGAACTTCCTTTATCTCCGCCCGCCTGGATGAGTTTGCAATCCAGGAAGCGGGCAGATAGCAGCTCCCTGGGAAAGGGGAGGTGTCAGCTACCAATGCCAGCCGGAGGAAAGTGTCTGGGTCAGGCTTTGGAGTGAGAAACACGATGCTGATTCTGGGCCCTGACCCATCCTCGTCCCGCGGGCTTGGGGCATGTTGTGTTACCTCTTGTGGAGCTCAGTTTGCGCACATGTGAGAGAGGCATCAGTATTCCTGTTGCCAGGATTGTGGTGAGGATGAAATGGGGACATTTTGGATGTAAAAGTGCCTCGGAGGGGCAAGATAGAGCTGAGTTATCTTTGCCTTCTCTAGTGGAGGGAAAAAAAATTGTGCACTGAAAGTTACAGGTGGCCTCCTGCCTGGCTCTTTCATTCCTTATGGGATGGTTTCGGAGAGGACACTGCCAGCTGCTGCTGACCACTCTTCCCGTGGAGATGTAATTCTTTTCAAAAGCAGTAGAGGCTGGTAAGCGGAAATGTCTTTCATTATAACTTCACATTCTTTAGAGCTTCGCTTTATTTATATAAAGCCTCCTAGGTGGTGTGCCTAGGATTTGCTTTTATTTCTCTTGTTGCTTTGTTAAAAAAATAAATAAATAAAAGGGCAGGAGAAACATTTCCTAACAATATCTGCTGATGAGAACCCCTTGGACAAACTAGTCCTTCTGACCTCAGTTTATTGATCTTGGAGATGGGAATAGGAAAACATTTCTTTCTCACTTAAGGGTACACTGAGAACACTAAGGTTCAAATGTAAAAAGCACTTGGTTTTCAGTTGCTAATCTAACAGATCCTTGAGTTTGTAAAAAAATTTTTCCTAATTTCATCCAAATCTCCTAATGTCAGGGAATTTATAAGGGTGCAACTGATGTGTGCTAAGCATGAAAATTTGACTTGAATTTGCACTGTTTAATGCCCCAAGTCCCACTCCAATAGGCAAGACCTAGGGCTTATCGGAGAGCTCGCCTTCTGCAGTATGAGACTGGGAGTCCTAAGAGAAGTTGGTTGTCTGGGGTAACCTGCTGTGGTGGTTGGGAAGGCCTGTTTTCCTGGATGAAGAGACAGCTGAGAAAATCACAAGTGTGCTCTGTCCCCAGCTCAGGACACTGGGGAGTTTTTACCCTCAGGAATAGCTATGAGTTGCAGCTCTGCTACTTGGCGAGGTCTTTTTGCTGCAATAGTATCTTATGTACTGGGTTACTCTAGACAGTCTGTTAGGGTCATTCAGAATGAGCTCCTCAGGTTGCTTCTAAAGTCCTCAGAGACTGAGCTTGTCTCATGGCTAAATTTCCCAATTTTGAGTCCACTCTTGAGAGGCAACTAGATTTTAAAGGAAAGAAGAGAAGAAATGGGAGGGGAAACCACTAGCTGATGATAGAGATTACTTTGCAAAATCACTGTGCTTTCCACACAAAAGAAAACTTCCTTTTCTTTTGCACACATACCTAGTGAGAGGAGATACCAGAGGGTTTTTCTACCAGCAAACTGGGAACTTCAAAGGCTTGGTGCCAAATGCGATCAAGCCAAGATCAAGCGACCTGTGACAGCTACCACATAACCCCAGTGTGCACATTGTATATGGGGTCAGTAGAGAGCCCTGATACGGAAGATCTTCACGTTTTAGGGATTTATAAAGAAATGGACACCTCCCACCTTGCCTTGACATAACCCATACCCAAATCCACAAGAATTTTGACAGTGGGTTACAGCCTTCATATGGCAAAGTCCAAGTTAATGTATTTCACTGTAAGAGAATCTTATCTGCATTGTTAACTCAAAGACCTACTTTTCAGGACCAGAAAGATAAACACCTCAAAGCTATTACAATTATACTGCAGTTCCTCAAAACCTGGTAGACACTGCAGAGGGAGCCCTGAAATCTTTGTGGCTTTGGTATTAGCTCTGTTCCTCACCAGCACACACAGAACCTATAATCACTGCAGGAAAACACATCATGGAAAATTTCTACAACCTGCACACTGAAACCTGGAAAAATCATCCTTGCTGGGTAGAATTTATGATGATGCAATAAGTGCCAACCGATATTCTCACCGTGGGACTGGCTAGAAACTGCTGCAAAGAAAAACAAAGATCACTCTGCATTATTTACATTTTAATATTTGGTGGGGGAAGGTTGGGAGAAATTAGTTCTGAGATTATAGATTTTTTTAAGATTATGAAATAAAGTTATTTTTAAGTAAATGTTTCAGTGATTTTGTTTGACAGTAAAAGGAGAGATTTGGGAAAAGGAGTTTGCTAAGAAAAAATATTTTTAACTTCGTTTCCTAATAATATTATTTCTCTTAACACTTTTTCTTCCATGGCTTGTACACAGTGAGTATATAAAAGTGTAGGTCAGGCAGCTGATGATGTGGCTTCATACTAGAGCACTTACCTAAGGTAAGTGGTCTTTGGTTCGATTTCTGGAATTAAAAAACCCACTAGGACCAGGAAGCACCAGCAGCGGGGGGAATATAGGAGATAAAGAATGGGCAGGAGAAACATTAAAGAACAGAGACATGGAGGAAGTGGGGTGTAAGGGTAAGTGGAGCCAGGTTTAGAAAAAGAGGAAAAGATACTGGAACTTGTATTTCACTTCCGGAGATTTTCGGGGAATGGAGAACTCTTGACCTGTGAACAAGTGGTTCCTCTTTACTCATTCTTGATGGTGAAACAGTTGTGTTTTGGGATTATCTTTTGTGGGAAACCATTATTCTGTTGCCTTGTATTTGAGAGTGATTACCTGTAGACATCCATTGCCAGGCTTATTTCAAGGCACATCGGTGTGGCATTGTGGGAAAAGCCTTTGGAATCAGGGAACTTGGGTTCAAACTACATCTGCACCATTCTTAAAGCAGCCAGAAAATCAGAGATGAAATGAGAATCCAAGTGGAAGAGACTAAAACTGGGGCTGAGTATAAAAGCAGAGACTCAGAGAAAGGGCTAAGCCAGGTCATTCCAAAAGTGTAGCTCAGTGGGAAGGTCCTGCCTTTCAATCCCCAATACTGTTGGGGATGGGGGTGGGGAAAAAACCTGGAGGGAGAGCAGCAGGCGAGGGATATGGACAGGACCCCGTGTGTGCAGCTGGTGACAAGGACACATTACTACAGACTGCAATTAGCCAAGCCCATCGAGAAACTCCAAGGACACCCATAGCTACAGGGGACCACCCAACTACTGAAAGTCTACCCTGGCTCCAACCATCGGACCGAACCGGACAAAGGGAGCCCGAGGGTGGGAAGTATCAACAGGGGACCACGAGCCCCTCGGGCGTCAGGAAAGCGGGGTGACAGTGGGCCTAACGCCCCCGTCTTGGTACTCTTCCCGAGCCGTCCACGCAGCGCCCGCCACCGCGGCTTCCGCGCCCACCACGCGGCCTTCAGGACACCTCCCCCCATCGAGGTCCCGCAGCCCGGCTCCCCAGCGCAGCCGACTTTCACTCGCGCCCTCTTCGCCCGCCGTCACCACACAGCCCACGTCCCTCCAGCTGCTCGCCGCCCCCCTCCTTGGTTTCCTCCCGCTCCCCTCCGCCTCCCGGAGCCCCGCGTCGGCCTCCGGCTTTCAGATCCCGCCGCCGCCATCTTCCGGCTGGCTGCGCTCCCATCCGCCTCACCGGCCGGTGACCCCACCCCCGGCGTCCAGCCCGCCCACCCTCCGCGTTGCCACGCCCCCGCCAGCCCTCCCCCGGCCGCCCCTCCCCCGCTCGGCTCCCCCAGGCCCCGCCCCGGCCGGCTGCAGTCAGCTTCGCGTTCCGAGCGCCCCCTTCTATCGGGTGTTCGTCCCCAGCCCCCACGGTTTTCCCACAGTCCCGACATTGCTTTTACTCGATTCCGGTCCCCGACTCCCCTGTTTTTTTCTCAGCACCTCTCGTTTGCTCCCTCCCGGGTTTCGCCTAAGCACCCCTGGTTCTACCGTCCCCCCCGCCGTTTCCCCTCAGCCCCCCTCCACCGCCCCGCTCCCGCCCCTCCTTCCGCGCCCCGCCCTCCGCGCGTCCCCGCCCGGCCGCCATGTGACGGGAAGCAGCTGATGGCCTCTCCGGGTGGCGGCGAGGCGGGGGCCGGGGCGGGGGCTGGGGCCGGGGCCGGGGCGGGGGCGGGGGCCTGGGCGGGGGCCGGGGCCGGGGCCGGGGCGGGCGAGGCGGGGGCTCGATGAGGGCCGGCGGTCCAGGGGGCTGAGGCGGCCGCCGCCTGCCGCGCCGACCCGCGTCCTCCATGGAGGCCGGAGGTGAGTGGGGCCGGATGCCCGTTCCCCGCCGCGGGCCGCGGTCGCTACCTGGGGCGGGGCTGGGCGGGACGGGGACCCCGGGGCGGCGGGCGCGCGGGCGTTCAGCTTTGTTTCACTTTCGCTGTCAGCGGCCGCCGCCGGGACCGGAGCTCCGACTAGTGGTGGGGCGGGCGGCAGGGGGGACGCGGCGGTGGGGAGGGACAGTCCCTAAGGGCTGGGACGCGCTCGCGGGGTGCGTGCTCCCGGCCAGGCCGTGCACCTTCCCCACGCACCTCCCCGTGGTCTCTGCGAGATGGGTAATAACAGTTCCCGTATCAGTGGGTGGTTCAGAGACCCCCAAACTTGCCAGTTCGCAGGCCTGAGGTCTAGGGTCCCCGTTAAAACTGTATCCCGAGCCGCTCCCTTGGGGACCATAATTCGGTGGGGAGGGGAAGGTTTTCTTGTCCCAGGTGACACGTATCATCAGGCAAGTGAAGGTTACCCTGATGGGTGAGGTCCAGGGCTTGCCCTGCCCTAGTTAACAGCTGTCACCATCAGAAAACAGTGTGCATGTCAGAATAGTGGGTGTACTTCATGGCAGGCCAGAGAACACACACTCTCAGTGGACAAGCTGTGGTTGTAAAGTATAGGCAAGACCTCGGGACATGAACCCTAGGCATGTCGTCTAAAACTCTTGCTCTCGAGTCCCACTTGTGTAGAAATTTGGGGCGGGTTTAGGATTTAGTCCGAGCTGTGAACTGCAAGTGCGCAAGGCTGTTTCCTTAAGTGAACTTCCCCGCGGGGGCCGAGGCCTAGGGCTTAGAATTCCTTACCGAACCTCTTGCAGTGAGGGTCATGCTTCATCTTCCTGTGAAGGGCTCTGAATGTTGATGGCCTGTTGTTGCGGGTGGGTTGGTTGAAATCCGGCCATTCCCTGGGGATGTGTGTCCGTGTTACTTTTTAATTTAGGAAATGACATTTCTTTGTTTGCTTGGGCAGGGCTTTCAGTAAAAGGTGTAGAGGCAGTCCTTTCTTTCCTTTCCTATCTAGATAAGGGCTTTTCTTTTCAGTGAGTGTATTACCCATAGAATTCTTTTTAAATGGTCCGTACTGTTTTCTGGTGGCTCTTACCTGAACCTTTTTCTAACTTCCGCTGTCATTTCCATTGATTCCTTACAGTTAAATCTGAAAACAGTAGCTAGCCTCACTTTTTCAGAGCGATCTGTTTCCAGTTCTGGGTTTTTCCCTGTTATTGACAACTGTGTTTTGGGGCTGTGGGCAGAGCTGTTGTGAGTTGCCAAGCTGCTATTAAAATAAATAAATAAATAAATAAATAAGCAAGCCAGAGAGTGGGCTAGAGTTTTTACATTCTTTTCAAACTGAATAAAGCCTATTGTTAAGGGATTACAATGGACAGTAGTAGAAATTTTCACAGCAGTGGTTGAAATTCATTAATTCATTCAAATATTACTGAGTATTTACTCTGTGCCAGGCACCCTCTAGGTCACTGGTGGCCAATAGAAATGTAACCAGAGCCATACATGTAATATTTAAAAAAGAAACAGGTGAAATTAATTTTAAAACTGTTTCACTCTAGCACATCTAAAATATTATTTCAACTTGATTCATTTATGTAATAAAGTTATTGTTATGCTTTAAAGGTTTTTAAAAAATTGTTAAAGATCTGGCGTGGCTCAGCTCAGTTCAGACCTGCCACATTCAAGTGCTCAGTAACCACTGGTGGCTGGTAATTATTGGTGAGAGTGGTCCAGTAGCCTGATGGGTTGGAAAAGAGATACATAAAAGCAACAAAATACGGAAAAGCAACCAAAGCAGTCAAGCAAATATCTGGAGGACTGTAATTAAATGATTAAAGGAAAGAAAGTGGGTCACTTTAGATGGTGAAGGCCGGAAGGAATCGCTGAAGATGACGTGAGCCTAGTGTCCTGCGAGATGTGTTGAAGCAGCCAAGGGAAAGCTTTCCCGGCTTCTGGAACAGCTAAATGCCAAGGTCAGGAGGCCGGAAAACTCTCCAGGCTTCCTGCCTGCTGAGGTCATAGCTTCCATCTCTGTGTTAAGGCTGCCACGCACAGAAGAGGTCCATAGTAAAGACTTTCCATTCAGCTTGATTGTCCAAACAGGTCCCATTGTTTAATTGGAAAATCCTGAAAGGGGTGAGGAAGGGCACTTGGGGGAGTGTTGTTATACAGGTAGACTAGATTCAAGATATCTGTTGTACATTATGGTGACTGTAGTTAATAAATAACAGTGTATCATCTACTTGAAAATTGCTGAGTGTAGATTTTTAAAAATGTCCTGACCACAAAAATGAGAAGTATAGGAAATAATGGCATGCGTTAATTTGCTTGAGTCATTCCATAGTGAATGCATGTCAAAACATCCTGTGATACACTATATACAGTATTTGTCAATTGAAACATTAAAGAGAAAGAAAACTCTAATCCGTAGGTATTTAAAAACGAAGAAGGGGCATTGCAGGTACAGTTCCAGGTGCAGCTGGATCCTCTCAGCTGTTTTGTTTTTAAGTTCTGCACTAATTATGGTTTTCTTTTACTGTAGCCAAGTTTAGTTTGGACCCAGACTTCAAGAGACAGGAGTCTCTGAGTTCTTTCTTTTAGCTCTTGGATTCCTGAACTGAAAATAGTAAGAGATTAAATGCCTAAATCACAGAAACAGATTGTGAATTCTGGGCAGCACTGGTATTTAAGAAGAATTTCATGTGAAATGTTTGGCAAAAGCATCTTAATAGCTTACAGGGCTTCATTGCATTTATATTTATAAAGGTATAACATGTATTTGTACACGAGGTATATTTACTGGCTCTTTGCTCTCTGCCAGGAATCAGGGGTAAACATACAAGATCCCTGCTGTGGAGTGGACCTCCTAATAGGGAGGAAACATATTAATCATCAGTTCTGCAATGAAAAGACCTTGAGTTGTGAAGGAAGCACCCCCTAAGGAGTTACCATTTGAATCAGACTTAAATGAAGAGAAGTTCCCAGCTCCGGAGAAGCATTCCCATGAAGGGAATAACTGGTGCAAAGGCCCTGAACTAATTGAGCATAGGCAGGAGGTAGAAGGCCAGGCTACCAAAGGCAGGGGTTAGGTAACGCAGAACTTGGAGGGCAGAGCGAGGAGTCTGGGTTTTATTCTAAGAGCAGTTGAACCTCCAGGAGGGCAGGAGAGTGATGGTGAGGGGCAGAACAGAAGCACAGAGAATAGTTGGAAGGCTGCCTACTATGCTAGGTGAGAGATGGGGCTGCGTAGATTAAGACCGTTACTGGAGATGGCTAGAAAGTAGATTTAGCAAGTCTTTTGGAAACGGACTTAATTGAACTTGTTAATGGATTCGATTTGAGAGTGAGAGAGATCAAGGGTGAAGCCTTTTGTACAGGATAGAGCCCCTTAGAGCAAATGGATGGGTAATGTGTACCTTATGAGGAAATTAACCAAGTGTGAAAGTTTTTTGAGACAGCGCCTCACTATATAGTTCAGGCTGGCCTTGAACTTACTATGTTGCTAGCCCAGGCTAGCCTCCTGCTAACTGTGATCCTCCTGCCTCAGCCTCCCAAGTGCTGGGATAACAGGGATGCACTACCAAACCCAGCAGCCAAGTGTGAATATTACCAGGATAGAATGAAGAAATTCTCATCCAAATCAATTATAATGCACCTTTAGATCAGTAATTATCATTTGCTACTTGACTACAACCGTGTTGTCATCCTCAGTACTGTTGACATTTTGGGCCTGGTGGTAGGGGCTATCCTGTGTGTTGTAGGATGGTGAGCTGAAGCCCTCCCCTCTAGGTGTGACACTTCACTTCAGGACAGTCAAAAACAACTGCAAATATTGCCACATAACCTCAGGAGTGAAATTGCCTCCAATTGAGAGCCTGTAGTTTACATGAAGAAGACATTAATAGATCAGTGCTTAGGTCACAGTAGGAAAGTATCTGGGAAAATGAGAATAAAGAATTGCTGGTCAATTCCTGTGTAACACCTAGAGGTCGTTTTGGCTAATATAAAAGGTGACTTACTAGATAAATGTTCACATCCACAGACGTATATTCACTGATGTGATTGTGTAAATGAAAGGACCACACAAACAGATTTCTAGAAGGAATGATCTGCATCTATACAGATGTCAGTTTATTTTGTTATTTTATTTTTTTGCAGTACCTGGTGTTAAACCCAGGGATGCTGTACCACTGAGCTATATCCGTAAATACCCCTCCACCCAACCCTCTTTATTTTGGTTTTTGGAAAAAGGCTCTCACTGTATTCCAGGCTGGCCTTGAACCTGAGTGCTGGGATTATAGGTGAGTGCCACCATACTTGGCCAAGTCCTTATTTATTTATGTTGGAATGATCTTGCTAAATTGCCCCATGACCTTGAATTTGGCAGTTCTGCCTTCAGTCTAGGATACAACTATGTATTTGCCTGTGAAGCATATGCCAGAAAAAAAAATTTTTTTTTGATACTGGGGATCAAACTCATGATCTTGTGCTTGCCCGGCAGATGCTGTGCCACTGAGCCATATTCCTAACCCCAACAGAAAATATTAATACACACATATACATGTGCACCTTTACATGTGTTTCACTGACTGTAAGACACCATGGAGTATGTTAACAGCTTGGGTCACCGAGAAAAGAACACCTATTGAACTGAGAAGTTGTCAATCATAAGATACATCCTGATTTCATGAAAGTCAAATGTAAGAAGAGAGAGAAAATATAAGAAGTATAGGTTGTTTAAATTAGTATCTATCTGGTAACAGCCATGAAAGTGTCCCAGACAGGAATTACTGAGGTGGAACATGCACAGGAGGAAATGACCTCATTCAGGATGGAAGTCAGTTTTTATATTTTTAGTATGTGTCACAATCATAGTGGCCAGACAGTCTGTACTGAGGGCCTTTAACTCACAGATTGACAACCATGGAGAATCTTCTGCCGGGGTAGAGAATTGAACTAGGAACTTTGGTTCAGTTCTCGAGGAAGCAGTGCCTACTCACAAGATGCTGTGAGGGTCTGGGGAACAGACAGGTTAAATCTTTGTAGTGTCTGGAGAGTGCTTGAGTGCTGTTTGCAGCAGCAGACAATGGAATAAACAGGGTAGGACTCATTTTCCCTTTGAGATTTAGGGATGCTTGTCAGTTGTAAATCTAGGTGGGATTCTCATAAACCAAAAGAACTTAGTGTGAACATGAAAGAAAGGGGTGTGCGAACCTGTCAGGGGAGCTGGGTGGCCTGCAGGGCTGGGAGGTGTGATGGCAAAGGCAGGACTGAAGTGCCATGGCCCAGGGATGGCTGAAAGGCCGCAGGCTCTTGGCTTTTAATCCAGCAGGTAGGTGGGAACCTTGGAATGTGTTTGAAAGAAGTGACGCCCTGTTGTGTACTGTTGTGTTTTCAGCATTGAAAAGGTCTTTGGGGGCAGGAAAATGAGTTGGGTGATTCTTGCAGAAAATCTTGAGACCAGGACAGAGTAGAGATGAAAGTGAGCAAAATGGGGGGCTCCACCTATAGGCACCTACCTGCCTGAAAAGGGCAGGTAAAGTTCTTAGCTCCTTGGTGGGGAGGGTGCTGTGAACAATGCAGACTCTTTGAGTTGCAGATTTTCCTACTATTACTATTACGACTTTAGCCATTTGGATTGATTGAGCATATCTAACATATCTTGCGTCTTTGCTGCGGGTCCTCTCCACCTTTTTCCTGCTCTGGCATTCATAGGAAAATGAGGCCTTCGTTCATTAGGTTTACACGTTCAAAGGTTTCTCTGACTCACAGTTAACTGGCTGTAGGGAGGGCTGGAGCTGAATGAAAGGCTGGTGGAATTTGGCTTGTGGCTGCTGTTATTGGCCCTGGTCATTTAAATGACAACTCCCACTGGGAAATCTATAACGTTTTCATAGTCTGGGGTAGACTTTCCTTTCCCTGAGTCTCCTGGTCAGGGTTGAGGTGGTGGTTTTTGAAGCATGCTCTCTCCTGCCCCAGAGGAACCACTGCTGTTGGCTGAACTCAAGCCCGGGCGTCCCCACCAGTTTGATTGGAAGTCAAGCTGTGAAACCTGGAGTGTGGCCTTCTCACCTGATGGCTCCTGGTTTGCTTGGTCTCAAGGACACTGCATTGTCAAGTTGATTCCCTGGCCATTGGAGGAGCAATTGTGAGTATTCTTTGCATCCAAAGGAATGAGGAAGTTTTCATGCTGGGGCACGGGGCACTTTCCAAAATTATTCCCCATTGTTTGGATTCTTCTGTCCAAAATAGGAGAGAGGGAAAAGGGTTGAAGAGTACAAGAATTGGGCAGAGGCGTTTCCAGAGCTGCTCCATGTTTTTGTATATGGGAAGTCAAGTTGTATCAAGATCATGTAAACCCAAGTTGACTTCATAGCTTTATGGAGATAATAATTGATAATCTTGTACAGTTTACATATTTAAAGTACCTAATACAGTCAGTATGTTCACAGAGCTGTACACGCATCATCGTAATCAATTTTAACCATTTCATCATCTCAAAAGGAAACCCTATAGCCCTTTGTGGATATCCTCAGCCCCCATCTTTTTTCTACCACCTGACAATACCTAAGCTGCTTTCTGTTTCTGGATCTGCCAGTTACGGACATTTCATATTAATGAAACTTTATGTGATTTTTTTTTGACAAACCACGCCCAGCATGATGTTCCACAGTTCATCCGTGTTGTAGTCTGTATCACTGTTTCATTTCCATTTATTGCCCTGTAGTTCAGCATTGTTCAGGGATGGTAGATTTTATTCATGTATTTCTCACTGATGGACATTTGGATTTTTTTCACTTTCTGGATATTTTGAAAAATGTTGCTTTGAACATTTACTTACAAGTTTTTGTGCAGGCATTTGATTTCGTTGGTCAGCTGAGGAAGTAGCAGGCTCTTTTCCAAAGTGGTGGTACCAGTTATGTTCTCACCAGCAATGTGCTCTGCTTTCTCATTCTTTACACCCTTAGGGTGTAAAGCCAGCTCTTTCTGTCTGGGTTCCAGTGTGGGTATCCTGATGGGTGTGAACTGCAGTCTCAGTGATTTAGATTTGCATTTCTCTGATGACTACTGCTGATGAACACCATTTCTTGTGAGTTTATTGGCTCTTGTTTACCTTCTTTGGACAAATACCTATTGAGATCTTTTGCCCATTTTTAAATTAGATCTTTTTCTTTTCGTCACTGACCTAGTTAAGTTTTCCTTTCTTCGGGTAGACTGGTGCTGGTGTCTGAATGTTAGGAGCTTCTAGTAGATGGACCAGCATCTATATCTTTCTATAGATATAATAATATAGCAGGAAAAAATCAGGTCTGGCTTAAAATTCAATGATGAAAGGGTAGTTAAAGAAATTGCTGCATTTCCATATGATACTTTTTTTGCCTTTTTTGAGACTAGGTCTTGCTATGAAGTTCAAGCTGGCCTTGAGCTTTCTCTGTAGCCTAGGCTGGTCTCAAATTTGCAAAGATCCTTCTGCCTCAGCCTCCTGAGCGCTAGGATTACAGGCATGTGTGCCACCATGCCCAGTTTTCCCTGTGATACTTTTACAGCCATCAAAGATTGTTGCCCATTTATAATCATTATCTTTAATTCCTTCTGTGGTCAGTCTAATGGTCATACCAAGGTCATGCGTTGTTTGTTTGTTTGTTTTTGGTACCACGGATCGAGCTCATGACCTTGTACTTGCCAGGCACTGTGCTGCTAAGCTGTATCCTCAGCTCATGCATTGTTTCTTGATCCCATTTTAAATAAAAGGAATTCCTTTATGTCTAGCCTTTAAGTCTGATACCAGTTCATTGTCCAAAAAGTTTTTCCTAAAAAATAAAATGGGAAGTGTGTTTTCTCAACAATCACTTATACTCAAATACATATATTACTGTAGGATAAATACATCATTTCAATATTAATTACACAGGGAAAAGTGTTGAATATTAACTTTTTATGTATAACATATAGTTTAGAATGAGAAAAGTATTATTAATATAGTAAATGAAAAGTGTATTGGTTTATTGGAAAATCACATTTTTGAGAATAACCTGGGAAAATATGTACAGTATAAAACTTAATTGGAAAAAAGCTATAAAACTATTTGCACTTATCCAAATTTATTTTTAAAGTCACATATACAGATAGAAATTTTTAATGAAATGTTTGACAAGAATGATACTAGGATTGTGCTTAATTTTTATTTGTTTCATTTCCAGATTCCCCGTGTATGTTTGTTTTTTTTTTCTTTTAGTTTTATTGATGACAGTTACAGTTGTAGCTGGGTAATGTTCCCAAGAGGACAAAATCACCTAATTATGAAGTCGGTTCTTGTTTTCAGAATGTATACCTGTTGTTAAGCAGCATGTAACTATTTCTTTCTAGCAAAACTCACTTCATGATATTAGAATGGGGTAATATGTAAATGTGCCCTTATTCCTTTGGAATGAAGTGGCTGTAGGGTATATCTTCTAATTCAAATACAGAAACCAGAGTTCCATTTAAAAAAAAAAAAAGAAAGTAACTTTGGAGATTCCAAGCTATTCTGAAGTTTTTCCTGCAGTCTGCTTTTAAAGTCCTTCCTGAAGTGGCAAACTCAGGGACTTGTGCCAGGACCCAGCAGGTATGGGTAGTGTGGACAGGAAGAGAGGGGCAGTGTGTGGATTGGACAGGGCCATTCAGAGAGACATTGATTATCACCTTCAGCTTGTTCAGCCCTGGAAAACACATTTTCAGATAACCAATAGTCATTTAGGTTAGGGGCCAGCAAACATTTTCTATAAAGGCCCAAAGTGTAACTGCTTCACACCGTTGGGGCCACATAGTTCATCATGACTGTTCAGTTAAGCCAATGTAGCACCATGTGCACAAGTGACAATGACAGGCTTCCAATAATGCTTCATTTATCAAACCAGATTTTTGTCATTCTCTACAGCATGGATAAACCTGAGGGACATTATGTTAAATGTAGTAAGTTAGGTGTTAAAAAACAAATACCACGTGTTCAATGTGGGATCTGAGAAAGGCAAACTCATAAGAGAGAATAGAATTACGGTAACCAGAGACTGAGGTCAGGGGACTAGGGACTAAGAAATACTGCTCAAAGGCCGCGAAGTGTCAGGCAGTGTTCATGGTGGTTAATGTACAATGAGTGAAAATTGCTAAAGGAGTAGATCATAAATGTTCTCACAACCAAAAATCAGTGAGACATGTTAACTAATTTAACCATTTCATAATGTGAGCATAGATTGACATGTGCATTTTAAGTATGTACAGTTTTATCAACTATACAGTTGACTTTAAAAATTGACAGAAGGATTGTCAAATGAACCAAACAGACAGACTGCTGTCCTGGGCATAGTTTGCTAACCTGATTTACATTAGTGAGCTTACACTTGCCTTAGTTCCTTCCAAATGGTAAAAATTCCTTTGTATATTTTATCATACAGTTGTCAGAAATACGATTTACTTAGAACTTCTCAGCACATGTAGAATAAAGAAGTACAGCTACACAAAATTATGGTCAAACATACCCAGAAAGTGGTATTTATTATTTGTTCCAGTAAAATATAGTACAGCTTTGTGCACTCAGGCCAAACTGCAGAGCTGTCTACTTGCCTGTGCCTTAGGGACTTCTGGGTTCAGAGGTAGGCAGGATAGAGGCCAGTGACTTTGGGACTGAGCCTCATTCATCTGGACCTGTTTCACCAGGAGCGGAGTAGAGGAGGAGAGGGTTAGGTTAAGAGACCTTGCAGGGCAGGTCCCATGTCTGTTGGTAATTCCACACTGAATGGCTTCTGTCTTGAATATACTATCAGGGAAGTGAATAAAAGGGTCTCATTATTGATTGGAACCTAGTAAGTGAAGGCAGAAATCAACATGTACCAAACAAAAACCATATTGGACAGAGGGGTTTGTTTCCTGATTCCTTGAGGATTTCTGAGCTGAACTTAAGGGGTCTTTTTAGGCAAGACAGCAGTAGCTGGCTCTGCAGGCTCTAATTCTGCCTGTCCTGGTTCCAAATGTGTACAGTGTGACTATGCTTTCTCATGGGGAAAACGGAGTGCATGTTTCTTTCCATGCACCCAAACCCAAGAGAACATTCTGAGCGAGTATGGCACTCCCGTTAGCCTCTGTGATCTAGTTACCTCACGAGGCAGGTCACCCAGTTGCAAGGCTGTTGCAGATGGATTTAACCAAGGTTAGTGAGGCCTCTGTTCCATGAATCCCAAAGTAAAAGCAGAAGAAAAGGAATAGCAGAATTAAATGAAAGCCAAAATATTTTCCTAGGACTTCAGAGTTTTCCTGCCACAGAGGACATGTTGGTTGACCTGGTCATAATTTTAGACCCATTAAGAAATCTCTGCCTTCCGCAGCATTCCTAAAGGGTTTGAAGCCAAAAGTCGAAGCAGCAAAAGTGATACAAGAGGTCGAGGGAGCCCAAAGGAGAAGACCCTGGACTGTGGTCAGATTGTTTGGGGTTTGGCCTTCAGCCCTTGGCCCTCTCCACCCAGCCGGAAGCTCTGGGCACGCCACCATCCCCAAGGGCCAGATGTCTCTTGCCTGATCCTTGCCACGGGACTCAATGATGGGCAGATCAAGATTTGGGAAGTGCAGACAGGTAGGTCATTCCTGGCTGACGTGTTCATGATGTGACCTAAGCAGGCTTCATGGGGTCTGCCGGCCCCCAATTGGCTGAGAGGCAGAACAGTGACTGCACTCTGGGTTTCCTGGCTCCTACTGATTGCTTCTGCTTTGCTTTCAGGGCTCCTGCTTTTCAATCTTTCCGGCCACCAAGATGTTGTGAGAGATTTGAGTTTCACACCCAGTGGCAGTTTAATTTTGGTCTCTGCATCCCGGGATAAGACTCTTCGCATCTGGGACTTGAATAAACATGGTAGGGATGTGGTTGGACTACTTGGATACCCTAAAAGTAATGTATTTGCCGGTTTCTCAAATTCCTCAGTGTCGTTTTTATCTAGAATGGTGTTTTCTCAATCTTTCTGCTGGTATTACTTCCTAAGGAACCTTTTTAGATGTTTTCATTCTAATCACCCTCCCTGTCCCAAGGAGACTTTAATACCAAAAATATATCATGCAGTTGTCCTTTTGTATCTGAGGGCAGTTAGTTCCAGGACCCCTGTGGATTTTGATGTGCATTCTTTAAAATGAGAGTGTTTGCATAGAACCAACTCGCATCTTCCTGCATACTTTAAAACCATCTCTAGACTACTATGATCCTTATTACAATGTAAATGTTGTAGAAAAGTTGTTACAGTACATTGTTTGAGGAATAATCCAAGAAAAAGATTACATCTGTACTGATGCACTGGTACTAGTGGTGTGTGGAACTGGGCATTAAGCCAGGGCTTCTTGGATGCTAGGCAAATACCCTACCACTGAGCTATGTCCCCAGATAAAGATAGATAAGATAGATAGACAGACACAAACAAACAAATTTTTTGAGATTAAGATCTTGATCAGTTAGTTGCTCTGGCTGGTCTTGAATTTGCTGTCTTTCTGCCTCAGACTTCTGAGTAGCTAAGATTACAAACCTGCATCAACGTGTCTAGCTTAGATGGAATTAAAAAAAATTTTTTTTGATTCATGTTCAGTTAAATCAATAAATGTTGAACCCATGAGTGTGGAGGACTTCCAGTATATAATGTACGGAAAACAAGTGTATTCTCTGCAAATAAGAAAACAGATTTTTTTGCACACCCAGAGCTAATTTTGCTCCCTTTTCAATGGGGGTGACAGGGCCTCTGGAGCAGGAACACCCCTTTTTAGGGGCTGGGTACTCTGTGTTTTGAGTTAGCCTGTGTGTGCTGGGATGTTGAGTGGCCTCCCTCATCTTTCCTTAGTAGATGCCGTTTGTATCCTCTCTGGTTGTGACATCCAGACGTTGTTTTTGGACACTGCACAGTGCTCCCTGAAGGGAGTAATTCTCTGAGGCTAGAGGTGGTCAGCTTTTATGAAATTCTGCCTTGAGCGAGCTGTGTATCAGTGGTACAGTAAGAATTCTAAACATCTCTGGTGACTTTGACCCTTAACTGATGATGCAGAGAAGTTGATTTGTTGCCACAGGTTCTCCCACAAGTAGCTAGAGATTTGTGGGATTAATCCTAATCATGACACCTTTCCTTCCCCCCAACAGCCTCCTCATGTGAGAATTAGGCCTTTAATATGTGGATTTTGGAGGGCCACAAACATTTGTGGAGTCCATAGCAGTTTGTTAAGAGGGGCACTTCTAGTGACCTCATCTGCAGCATGTGCTCACTAAGGATTCTCCCAGGTGTTTCTGCCCATTCCTGTGGGACTTGTCACCACACCATCAAGGCAAGGAGGTATCTCAAAGGCAGTGACTTCTTACATTTTCTTTGTGTTCGGTAGTGCTGGGATTGAACCTGGAGCCTTCTGCACATGAGGTATGTGCTCTCCCACTGAGTAGCACCCGCTGTCTACAGCGCCCTTATTACTGTGTGTTAAGTGCACAGAGGCAGCTGCTATCTCAGGAAAGTCTGTAGAGTGCCTGAAAACTGTGCTGGCTGGGAGGGTCAGGTGAGTAATGAGAGTGGGTGGAATGGAGCAGACCGTTACTACGGCTTTTCAAGGCAGGGAGGGGAATAAAACTGTGTACCCAAGTACCAGGCAGTGATTCCCCAGCAACCTGGCTTCCCTTAATACATTCAGTTCTGATACCACCTTGGGATGTGACAACTGAAGAAACTGTAACTGGTTTTTTATAAATGCTAATTTTTCTTTTGGCTTGCTTTTTATTTTTTGAGATAAAGCTTTACTAGGTAGTCCAGGTTGGCCTTGAACTTGCTGTATAGCACTAGCTACCCTTGAATTTGTAATATTTCTGCCTTGTCCCCCAGTATTGGGATTATAGTCATGTGTCACCTTGCATGGCTAGGGATGCTAATATTTACTCATAAATACATGTAAACTTCATAAATCCTTATGTAAGACTAAGTACTGACTTAAAAATTGTTTCATTTTTCATGCTTAGATTTTTCCTTTCCCACCCTTTGTTCTTTTTCCCTGGAGTCTGATAATCCTTGTTACGAACTTACTGTGGCTAGGTGCACTGGCATATTCCTGTAATCCTAGCACTCTGGGAGGCTGAAGCAGGAAGATCTAAGTGTGAGTCCTGTCTGAGTAACTTGCAAGACCCTGTCTCAAAAATTTAAAAAATGGCCGGGATATAATAGCTCAGTGTGGAGGCCCTGAGTGTGGGCTCAATCGCTAGTACTGAAAATAAATAAATAAAAATTTAAAAAGGCCTGAAGATGCAGCTCAGTGTACCCCCTGGATTTTATCCCTAGTATCCCCACCCCCACAAGAACCTATAAAGTATACTTTAATAATGTATACTCCAGTCTTACCTATGCTGATACATAACCTGTACACAGTTACACTCGTGAATTTTAGGGTCATTGTATCACAAAAGTGGTATCTTTGTAGTTTATCTACATCTTGTTTTTTGTTTGGTTTGGTTTTTTTAAATTAATACCTCATGGAAAGATCTATGTTATGAACAGGTGGCACATGGCCCCATTCATTCAGCCACTCCCTTATGGATGGGCATTAGATATTTTTGAAGAAGCCAAGATCTGGAGAGATGACCTAAGCACTGAGTAAGCAATGGAGCCAGATTTTCAAAGCCAGGGTGTCTGACTACAGAGCATAAGAAGCCTCTAATTACTCCACACCCTTCGGCAGTCATCCTTGTGACATGGTGAAAGGATTACAGAGGTTAAAGGTGGGAGAATTGAAGATAAACACTCTTAGAATTGGGAAGGGTGCTTCAGAGTACTTCAAGCGACTGGTTATCTAAAAGAATGTTCTCTACAATCAGAGCAGATCTGTATATACCCTTGGTCCTGTTGATCTTGTAGATTTAGGTGAATGATTTCCCTTGGCCATCAGAATGATGTCTTATTAATAGATTAAAGGCATCTATTTTTTCTCTTTTCACTTGCAGTTGTTTAAGTGACAAATCTCACTGTAGCTCTTTCTGTATATTAAAATAGTGGGCCTTTGGATCCAGCTATGAGAGAACTGGATGGATGTGGGTCTTGGATCATTATTAATGGTTCTTCTGTCTCTCTGGTTTCTTGTTCTTATCGTTTGCTCACTGCTTGCTTCTCTTCCCTGCCAGGCAAACAGATACAGGTGTTATCTGGCCACCTGCAGTGGGTTTACTGCTGCTCCATCTCCCCGGACTGCAGCATGCTGTGCTCTGCAGCTGGAGAGAAGTCGGTAAGCCTCAGACCCTGGGCACATTCTTCCTGTGCTTTCGTGCATCGGCACATGGAGGTCTGAAGCAGTGGCTGTTGGGAGGGGGGCACATTGGCAGGCTGTAGCCTCTACCGAGCTCCCTCGCAGCTGGCACTCTGACATGAACTAAGGGAGAGGATTCACACCCATCACTGGAGGCCAATTCTTTACACAAAATGGAAAAAAAAAAAGGTGTTTAAATTTTTTTTTTCTCCTTGGGAGTCCAAAAGTTGCAACCCACATCTCTTTCCTTATCCTTTTGAACTATCTTGATTTGAATATGTCTGATTAGAATTTCCAATTCAAAACATGACATACACAGTTACTTGTTGAACTTTGTTCTGAAATCTTATTTTTAAACATACTAGAAATTCAAGAGCCAACTGTTTGGTACAGTTTCTGTTCAGAGTCCACATTTGTACTGAGCCTTGGCTGTAACTGATGGAGAAATAAGGAATCACCTTTTGGTTCAGCCCAGGTGGTTGATCATTTGAGGTTGGACCCCATGAGACAGTGAGCATTCTCTTAAAGAAACAAAATCCTACTTTAAATCATCCCCAGAAAGATGTGATGAGCTAGGTCAGATGCAGAGCCTGGGAAAGAGCCCTTGGTGCTATAGGCAGGTGTGGGGTGGGTCTAGAACTCACCTTTGCCCTTCATTTTTGGTTTTAAGTGGAAGAGGATAGCATTTGACTTACACCTTGGCACAGCATAGAAGCCTCTGCAGATGTTTCACTGGCAGCCTCCTTAAAGTTAGCCTACTTTATTCTCTCTTAAAACACTTTCAGTAAGTGGCTGGAGAATTCAGACCCAGTGTTTTGCTTCACTCTTTATGGTGGGTTCTAGAAAAGGAAGTGAGAAGAGTTTTACCTGGCGGTGCAGCCTGAAGGAGGGAATTTCAGTATCTTTCACTGCTGTTCGCGCCCTGAGCCCTTTGCTTCTGTCCCTCACCAAGCACCTGATATTCTCTCTCCACAGGTCTTTCTATGGAGCATGCGGTCCTACACATTAATCCGGAAGTTAGAGGGCCATCAAAGTAGTGTTGTGTCTTGTGACTTCTCCCCCGACTCGGCCTTGCTTGTCACAGCGTCTTATGACACCAATGTGATTATGTGGGACCCCTACACTGGTGAAAGGCTGAGGTCACTCCAGTAAGATTGAATTCTTGCTACTACTTCCTGGGAGTCTGGGATGGGAGGGGACAGCCCTGGTCAAAAGGCAGTCATTGTTTTCATGTCACTCCAGCTCTAACTCAAGCCCACGTGTCCTCATGTCTCCTGGTTTAGGTAGCTGTTTGTACCTCTTTGGATTCAGCATTATGAAACCTCAGAGTGACTCTTTGTTTCCACTTAGTAATAACTGTAGTACCGAGTTCAGAACGATCATCTTACCGAAACTGTCGTTTCCAATGTGAATTTTCATGTTCTCACAGAGTTGGTCTACTTTTTTCTTTTGTCTGTGTGGTTTTATGAAGCAAATAATAGGTAGTCCTATAATTATCATGTATCTCAGCCTAAAAAAGACTTTCCGTTTGTACTGTGGCATTAAAATGAGGACTGACCTACTTTGCATAAGGAAATTAGCACAAGGAAGTGCCAGTAACCCTCCAGCCCCCTCAAGACACTTGGAGCCTTCTGAAGGGCACATTTTTTCTCATATTGGGTACCAGCCATGGCATTTTGGGCTCCTGCCTCAGGTGAGGCTGAGTGAGGACTCCAGGCTACTGACCTGTTTCTCCTGCAGCCACACCCAGCTTGACCCCACCATGGACGACAGCGATGTCCACATGAGCTCACTGAGATCCGTGTGCTTCTCTCCTGAAGGCTTGTATCTTGCTACAGTGGCAGATGACAGGTAACCATAGATCTCTTTGGGTGGCCTCGGAGCAGGTGCTCGCAGCATGGCCAGGATTCCCCTGTAGGTCTGGCCCAGGTCAGCTCACATACAGGTGTTTCCTCCTCTCTTGTGCAGGCTCCTCAGGATCTGGGCCCTGGAACTGAAGGCTCCCATTGCATTTGCTCCTATGACCAATGGTCTTTGCTGCACATTTTTTCCACATGGTGGAGTTATTGCTACAGGGTACGTGTCTCTTCGCTGAATAGAACACAGTGGTTTCTGCTGGGTAGTTTCTGTAGTTTTTCAAGAAAAGAAGCGTCTAGAATTTCATTGCCTCTATAAACCCTTAAATGAAATCCCACATTATATAAGATTTAAATATTCTGTTCTGCCAATGTATCACTTACTTTTGATGCTTAACCTAAATGTAATTAAAGACCTATTGTTTGTCACCTACATTAAAGCATAGGTGACACATTAAAGCGTAAATTAAGATGGAGAATTTATATGGGAAACCATTTACTTCCAGCTGAGACCGCCTTACAGGAAACACCTGTAATTCAGTAGGTGGCACTCTGTCTTCCTTCACACTACTACATAGAAAGAGCTGTGCTGACACAGATAGTGCTTGGGAGCAGAGGTCTTGAGGTGAGCTTTTTGAGATGTGGTCTTGCTCTGTTGCCCAGGATGATCTTAACTTCTTGGGTATATATCCATGATTCTCTTGCCTCAGTACCTTGAGTAGCTGGGGGGTACCACAAGGATGTCACATTTTGAGCTTTGTTTTTGTGGTATGGGGATTGAACTCACGTCTTAACACTGTGCTATGTCCCCATTTGTTTAAAATTTTTTAATTTTTTTTTGAGATAGGGTCTAATTTACTCAAGCTTGAATTTGAAATCCTCCTGACTCAGCCACAGAGGACTGGGATTACAGTGTGAGCTACCATGTCTGGCTAACACACTCAGTTCTTATAGTCAGTCAGCATCTTTCATTTACCAGCATACCTTTATTTTATTTTAAGGAGAAAAAAATTTCAAAACTTCAAGGGGCAACAATGGTACATCAATTGTACATTTTCATTCTATTTTATTTTTTTGAAACCAGGGTCTCAATGTCGTTCAGATTATCTTGAACTCATGTAACTCAAGTTGGACACAAACTTGCAACAACCCTCCTGCCTCAGCCTCCCAAGTGCTGAGATTACAGGTGTATGCCACTATATCCAATTATCTGCACACCTTTTAATCTGTTCCCAGTTTGAGTTGCATTTTACCCTGTGGAGTGTTGGCATTTCAGGTCAAATTTTAAAACATCAGTATGCAAGAATAAAAAAAATCATTGTCCATCATAATATGTATGTCCATAAAATGTAAACTTCCAGGGTCAACCTTAATGTGCTGGTTGCTTTTATTTCAGGACAAGAGATGGCCATGTCCAGTTCTGGACTGCCCCCAGAGTTCTGTCCTCATTGAAGCACTTATGCCGGAAAGCCCTTCGAAGTTTCCTGACAACCTACCAAGTCCTAGCACTGCCAATCCCCAAGAAAATGAAAGAGTTCCTCACGTACAGGACTTTTTAAGCAACGCTACACATCTCTCTGTCGCAGAATATGGTCTCCTGGCAAAGGAATAGTCGGAAGAATGAGCCAAAGATCCAGATTGAAGCAGAATCTTTTTGGGATTGTGAATAGTGTAGCAAGCCAGATCCCAGTGAACTCGCCATGGATGTTTTCCCCATGGCACCTGCAAGGCAATTTCAGAAGAGATTCCTCTTCAGCCATGACAGTCTTACCTTAAATCTTTGGGTCCACTTGTACACAGCGGATGTTGAACTTCTAGTTGTTCAAATTTAGAGTGCTGTTGCTGCTGTTTTGATGGAGGCCTCTCTGTAGTGGTGGCAAAGCTCACATTCCTTGCCAGGAAGTGTGACTGCCACATAATACCTATCACACATGTCAGATGCAGTGGTAGCATGATCTAAAGCTCCCTCCCTCCTGCTGTGGTCAGGGAAGCGTGGATGTCAGCAGGGCCCACTTTTGGGCTCCCGTTTGACCAGCAAGACCCAAGTTTTCAAGGAGCCATTCGGTGTAAAGTGTTCACTAAATCACAAATGAAACAGGCTGTGTGTTCCTAACCCATACAAACACTATTATCGGCTGTTTTTGTTAAGCAGTGGTGTGCATGTGCAGGTGACAAGCTCGTATGTCAGATTATATGGGGATTTACTCCTAAACCGCATGACTGTTCAAATGGCTACTGAGTTGTCAGTTGCTGGCCATTTATTAGCATCATATTTATTTGTGTTTTTTCACAGATACTGTATTAAGGTACAATTGTGTTTTTCTCAATGGTATCAAAAGACCAGCATCCTTCAATGGACCAGTTGTAAAGATGTGTCTAAGCTGCGTGAAGAACTGCTGCTGTCATCACCTCGGCTCGTATACTTACATACATCTGTGCTGCTTGGCCTCACTGGACTCATCAGCCAGTCTCAACACACACCTAAACAAAAATAGCTCCTTAAAGTACTGTTCTCCTTCAGTGGCATGTGTATCTCAAGACACCTCATTCGGTCAAAAGTCTGCCTTAGGAAATCTAATATATTTTAAATTATTTTAAAAGAAATGCAACATCTTTATTCTTTGGCTTTTTTAATCAGTGCTTTATGGAGGCAGTGTAACAACTTGCAGAGGGTAGAGCAATCTCCTCTACCTTTTGCTGCTTGATGAAAATGTTTCAAAATGAGGCATTGAAGGAAAAAACCGTGCTTTTGTCCGTTTCATTTTTCTTTTAAGAAAAAAAAAAACCTTTTAAAAAAAGTACAGTGGGAGGCTGGGGACAGTTGGTCAACTTTTTGGTTTTATGTTTATATTTTCAGTTTTACAGTTTTCTTGGCACTAGCATCATGAGAGGCTCTTGGTGGTTTCCCTGAGACTCCACTTAGCCAGTACATTCAAACTTCATTGGTGTCCTTGGTAGTGACTTCTCCATGGATGAAGGAAACCGCCAGCTTCTCTCCTGGTCACTTAGTTATGTGGTGCTGGAAACTCCACCCAGGGCTCACACACACTAGGCAGCGCTCTGAGCCATACTCCCAGCCCTGCTTTTACTTGATGTACTGATGTGCCTCAACTTAGAGTGGGGTAACATCCCAGTTACTCCACTGTAAATTGAAAATACCCAAGCTGAAGATGTGCCCAGTACATCTACTGAGCACCACAGCTTGGCATGCAGTACACTGCAAAGTGTCAGTCATTTTCATTGTAATCGGGTGGCCCACAGGAGCTGTGGTGTAGCTTACTGCTGCTGCCCACTGTTCTTAAGAGTATCATGTTGCATGCTGGAAGCCTAGGGAAGATCAAAATTTGAAGTACAGTTTCTACTAAATACATCATCCTTATGTATAGACTAAGTGAAACTTTCGAAAAGTTGAGGTCTAAGAACTTGACACCTAAGGAAAAAAGAAAAATTGATTGTGTGATATCAGACATTTACTGCATATGCAAAGTGGACAGTCAGCATCTCTTTAAACAGCTAGAGAAGGGAGTCTAATCTGTAGGCAAGCCACTTTATTCTTGGTGTGCAGCAGCTTTTGTAGAGAAATCCCGGCCCTTTCAGCAGTTAAGGTTTAGACTCTGGCTTAATCTCACATGTCATCCATGAACCAACAGATTTATACAACCAGTGGCTCAATGTCACAATTTTATGGCTAACTAAAAATTTTTCTTCATACTGTTGCAATTTGGAACCTGTTCGTAAGTCAAGAGAACTTAAAAGAGCAGTTTTTAAAATAAGAATTCCTCTGGGGATTTAGCTCAGTGTGGAAGTGCCTGCCTGCCAAGGGCAAGGCTGTGAATTTGATCCCTGGTACCATTTACAAACTTTAGCCAGGCATGCTAGCACATGGCCCGTGCCTATAATCCAGCACTGAAGAGGCTGAGGCAAGAGTGAAGTTCAAAGGCATCCTGAAACACAGACCCTTTCATTAGGAAACCAAAAATTAAGACCTCACTGTTAAGCCAGCTGAAACAACACAGACCCTTTCCCAAAAACTCAAAAATTAAGACTTCACTGTTTATAAGAATTATGAGTTGTATCTAGAAATCCACTAGTACCTATTTAGATAAAAAGTATCAAAAATTATAGATTTATAAACTTTGGTGGAGTTGGAAGACAACCGGACATACATAACAGACTTGAAAAATCTCATATTCCAGACCAAAATAGTGCAAACCAGTATCTGTCACCCAAGCAACTGAAAGGTAAAAACCTTAGGTCTGGGAAGAAAAACACATCTTTTTCCTATAAAGATGGTAATAAGCTGGTTAGACAGGTGTATGTTAACATTATTTTGCACACCCTTATTCTGAACAGCAATAGATAAAATATTTTGGAACAGTTTTCCAAGATGGCGGCGACGGGGTGGGATTGGCTTCATCACACTGCCCCAAAGCAGCACTTCACCCCTAACCCGAATCCTCTTTCCTACTCACTGATAGGGGCCTGGGACATCTAGGCCTCTGCCACAATGAGGTCCCTGGTAACCTGAAAAGCAGCAATGAGGGAACTCAGCTGAATCTTCTCACTGGTGCCAACAGAAAGCCTGTACCTGAAAGGAAGCAAGTGAGAGTAAAGACCAGGCCACTGCCTTCTGCTAAGAGGATAGGACAGATCAAAAACTGCCAAAGGTGAAGGGGCACAGGACTGACAAAAATTGATGTAGGACAGTAAGCAGTCTTAGGTATTCCCCTAACCTAAAATTGAGTTGGAAATTGAATTCAAACTGCTGAAGACAAATTCTAGGATCAACAGCAGTGTTCTGAACTTCATTGTAATTCTACAGACTTCTTGTTATTAAGATTTATTTCTTCGGGGCTGGGGATTTAGCTCAGCGGCATAAGCGCCTGCCTTGCAAGAAGGCAGTCATGAGTTCGATCCCTGGTACCGATAAAAAACGAGCAAGACCAAAAAAAAAAAGATTTATTTACTCAGTGCAAAATGCACTCAGTAAATAAAATGGAGAGTCCTATTAAAACACTTCATCAGCAAGTTTATCTGGGGCCTGTGGCTGAGTGAGAGAAGTGGGACAGTGGCAGTTCATCTGGCTCCTTTTTAAGTGCCCAGCCATCAAAAGCAAAATCATATTCACAGTACAGCTATACGAAGTGACCTAATTTGTGCACATGAAAGACAATGACAGTAAATCAGAGCTGGCTTATGCTCATGTCTAGTTGAAACCCAATGCTCTGTCTACTTAAATGATAGCTGCCAGCTTCACTAGGGGCTAATAACAGTGTTTACTGAGCCAGGCAAAGTGGAAAATGTTGTGTTTACTTTTCCCGCAATATGCTTCAGTGTGCCAAAATCCCTCAATAACAGTAGCTGGTCAACCTCAAATGACCTAGATGTCCAAACTGAAGCTGCCTCCCAAATGACAAGAGCACCGGAACCAATGTGGACCCAGCCTTTGAGGCTGGAAGCGAGGCCCTCAGATTAACAGTCTTCTATGCTTACTCCTGTGTTCTGGAAATAAGCAACTTACAGCCTTGGCCACATTCCATTTGATACTAACTCAAACTGGATTATAACACATGGGTACAATATGGATAAAAGGCTGAAACTCAGACAACTCACAATAGGAAAAAAGTTAAAATTGGGAAAATAAATACTTACTCAATGTCTGCCATTTTGGTCAATAAATGAATTCGAACTGAAGATGGAAAGTCAACTGAGGGATAAACAAAATCCAATGAGTGAGATTCATCACTTCCTACTATCAAAAAGACTACAGGGAAAAGCATCAAATAGATAACAGTGAACATCACTTTTTAAATATCAAACAGATAATCGTGAACTTCTGAAGTCTCAGCCTGGTCAAAAGTTACCAGACCTCTAAGTGAAGACAGTCCAAATTTCATATTCTTTTTACCCACTATTTTGATTTTTATAGTGTATTAAAAGTACACAAGTGTATATATCAGATTCCACAGTGATTATGAGGATATAGAATAGCTATTAACAATAGTCTTTTTAGGTAGCTTCACGAGTTAATGTGGAAGCTAAGTTCTTGCCATCCCAATTTTAAAACTAGTTCAACGTAATTGGGTTGGGTATGGTGGTACATGCCTAGAATTCCAGCAGTCTGGGAGGCTGAGGCAGCATCACAAGTTCAAGTCCAACCTAGGTAACTTAGTGACTTAGCAAGATTGTCTCAGAAAACAAAGGGCTGGGCATGTAGTCAGTGCAAAGGCCCACCAAAATAATAAGAAGAAAAGGTCTGCACAGGTAGAACCAATATTGAATGATATAAAGGTCTCCCTTATTTTCAGGTGACTGAATTGAAAAGTTTCTCCAAAAGGCTTTGCAGGGGACCATGAAAAAATGCTGATGCTTGCTGGCCCTGGAAATGGATTTCAGGGTTCTGAGGTGACTCCTAGGTACTGCAGAGGTCGAGGAGTCAGGAGCAGGTGTGGAACTTAAGGTAGTTTCCTTAGGTCTGCTTTGGTTTACATGAAGATGGATCATCTTCCCCTTTCTGTTTTCTTTTTTGGATTTTTGAGACAGGTTCTCACTATATGTGATTTAGGCTGGCCTTGAACTTCTGGCAATTCTCCTGCTTCAGCCTATTATGCCCACACAAAGTTTTAAATAGCAAGACAGGATTACTAAAAAAAATTAAGGGATGAAATTTATACTACTTCATTCTTGCTTCTCTGTTTCAACAATAAAGGTTTGAGTGGAGTGTGGTAATGCATGCTTATAATGTAGTACTCAGGAGGCTGGGGCAGGAGGAAAACTGCAATTCAAGGCCACTTGGAACTACACAGTGAAACCCTGCCTCCAAAAAAGGGGGGTGGGGGGAGGCTCACGTTCACATTCTAACATCCCTTAACCCTAAAGTGTATAAGCTGCTCAGCTAGGGATGGATGCAGGTTACCTCTGTGCACAAACAGGTGAATCTCGGTCAGGATGTCATGTAATGCCAGCCCCTTCAGGGTCTTCAGCTCCATGATATCTAGAGGAGCAGATAAGGCACAGGAACAGGTTCCAGAACAAACAGACCACAGGGCAGTTTTAATCCAAATCCCAGAGCGTGATTTTAAAGTAGGGTCTTTAAGTGCAACACAGCTGTTTCTCTTTCAATGTCAAGTTTCATGCTAGGCTTCAGTTTTTACTTTTTTTTTTTTTTTGTTTGTTTTTTTTTCAGTTTTTACTTTTAAATGTCTTATCTCCAGGAAGGACTTTATAGAAGGTACAGATATTTCTCCTAGTGAAGAACACAGCCAAACGCACTCCTCAAATGGTTTCATGTTGCCATTCCTAGCTTTTAATTTCAGGGCAAAATAATGACTAACACCAACTAGTTTGAACTTACTACATCTCCTCTCTGTGAGTCAAGTTGCTTTAAGCCTTAAAGGCAGTGAGGCTGAACTTCTGGGATGTTAAAAAAACGAGCACTTACTCCCCTCACAGACCCTGATTTCCACAACGAACTGACTGAAGCCACAAACAGCCAGGCACCACTGGCCAGCAGGGTGTAGGTGCTGGCTGCAGCATGAACTCCTGGGGCCACCTGCAGGCCTCAGGTGTTTATCTCAGTGGTGGACTCGGAACAGGATACTTCTGTAGGCTGTGGTGAAGTCCTGATTCAGCATCCAGTCCAGAATGTTAGCGATGTCTGACTTGAGCGGGTGTCCTGTGCAGGTGTAGACAGTCTCCTCAGTCACCTTCCCAAAGGCCATATTGGTGCTCTGTGCAGAGAGAAGGGGACATTCCAGAGGCTGTCAGCAGCTGCCAAGCTGCAGATGGCCAGGGAGAACTTGTCACAGCAGTGACATGACATAGGCCAGGATAGCACACACCGGGTTTTTCACTGGTGAGCAGTTGCCTCATAGAGGATGCAGCTCTTGCTGGCTATGAGAGCTGCAAAATCTTCCCTGCCTTCGCCTTGTTAGTGACAAATGATTTGTTCAATTAATCAAACTATAAAGGCCAGGGATCTGCAACATTAAGAGAGCTGTCCTAGCAGTTCTGGATTTCTGAATTTAATAACAGGCTGACACTTTGTTGGAACACTTTCGAAACAAAAGTTGTTTCAAAACAACCATGATGTGCTTTGAGTTGGACTAACCTGCAAAATGTTCAGAGCCCTTCGCATATCTCCGCTGGAGAGAGTCACAAGTGCTTTCATTCCATCTTCACTTATATCCACTCTGGAAGGAAACAGGCAACGGATTGAGGGCTGTGTCACAAGGGGAATGAGATGGCCTTGATGATTAGGGCTTTAAAAGAATGAATGGAAAAAAGGAGAAAGAGCTAATGATACCCTCCTAATGTATGCCATCTAGAAATCACTCTGGTTCTTAGGGATGTGGGTCTCACGTTAGTAATCCCGGTCCACCTCAAATCTAGGGCGACCCTTCCTCAGAACCAAGAATCCTGACCCTGACTAACTGGCTGCGATTACAGTTTGATTAACTGAACAAATCATTTGTCACTAACAAGGCAAAGGCAGGGAAGATTCTGCAGTTCTCACAGCCAGCAAGAGCTGCATCATATTCCCCAGGGGGAGGCCTGGGGTGATGATCACCACAGGGCCCAAGACACCCCCTTCAGAATAAGCAGCTCCCGGGGGAAGCTACTTGCTTGGCATCTGACGCCTTGGAATACAACGTCTCAGAACCTTCCCTTCTAGTCTAAAGAGGCCGGCAGCATCTGCAGAAGGGACTCGGCAGCATGCAGTTTCCAATGACAAAGAGTAGGAGGAAAGTGGGACAGCTTCCAGGGGAGGAGGAGGGAATCAAGAAAAACCAAATGACTTTTATGAGGAGGAATGTCCGTGAGATACCAGAGAATACGACAGCAGCCAGCAGTCCCCAGCACTCCCCCCGTGCAAGGCGTTCTGCTAAGTCATCGCCAATGTGACCGCTCTCTGCTTTTCTGTCGGCATCAGCTGTCACCCCAGGGTCCTGCCCACGCTCCGCTCATCCCACGGAGCCCTACCTTGCCCGCTTTCCAGTATACTCACTTCTCTTCTTTTACCACGTGTTCCAGGCGGGGGACCATGAGTTCAGGGGTCAGGGGACCGAATCGGAACCTTGTACACCGAGACTGCAAGGCGGGGATGATCTTGGACAGATAGTTACAGATGAGGCAAAATCTGGTATTTTCAGTGAACTTCTCAATCACTGGCAAAGGAAAATAAAAACACCTCTTGTCAAAGTCCATTCCAAATGTTCAAAGGCCCTGCAAACCCTGAACTTTTCTGAACTCACATGAGGGTACAAGATTCAAAATGCAAGAGTGGGGACGCTACCTGAGGTGTATCACAGGTATCCAGGAGGAGACCAGCCACTCTTCTTTCAAAACTAATGAATGTGTCACCCATGTGGGGTTTTAGAAAATGCTGTTTTTCCTTGATGTGCCATGAGTCTGGCACTTGCTACCATACCCCTTAGAATCTGAGTCCCCGTACACAAGAGCCTGTCCTTTTGGTATAAAATGCTATCTGGCAGGTAGGTGATGCTTTGTGCTCTCTGGGCAGGAGGGGGACAGCACTGTGTAGACTTTCCAGGGGCTTTTAGAGGCCTGAGTTCTCAAGAGCAGCAATCTCAGCTGAGAGATGCTGAGGATGCCACTGTCATTCTGCAGGGACCCAGTGTTCTCGCATGAGGATCTGCCCAAACTGACAGTCACTCTGCAGAACAAGATGCTGAAGAAAGGCTGCCAACGCTCCTAGGGCCAGAAGACAAGATAACTGTCCTCCCCCTCCTCCTCCTCAACACTTGCTGCAGTCCACTCCTTCCCTCCTGGGCTCCCAAAGAGCATCTTTCTCTCACAGCTGATTCCCTCAGAATCTTAAGGAGGGAGCACAAGGCTCCTCTAACTGCAACGGCAGCCTGGTGAGGTAGTGCACAACTGTAATCCCCAGCGCTTGAGAGGCCTCGGCAGGACTGCCATGAGCTTGAGGCCTGCTGGGCTACACAGTGAGTTCAAGGCTAACCCCAACTCCATAGTGAGACCCTGTCTTGAAAAAAGAAAAAAAAATAACTGTAATGGACCTTTCCTTCTCTGCCAAATCATTCACTTGGCAATTAGGGAAATAAAATCAGCTCATCAGGTGCCCTATACCCCAGAGATTCTTCTCCTGTCTTCTTTGTATCTAAAGGTACCCACGGCAGAAGGGCCTATCCAATAGTTTGGAAAGGAAAGACTTTCCATGCCCTTCCACTGAACGATGCAAATCCTCAACTTGAAATTGAATCCAGCAGCAAAGGAAGAAAAAATGCCAGTGACCAGGGATATGTGAAAGTCCCAACAGGTGTGGTAGCACATGCCTGTGATCCTAGTACTTAGGGAAGCCGAGTCAGGAAGATTCCAAGTTCAAGTCCTACCTGGGCAACTCAGCAAGATCCTGTCTTAAAAAATGAATAAAGAAAAAACGACAGGGATATAGATGAGTAGTAAAGTACCTCTGGGTTTAAGCCTTAGTACCACACACGAAAAAACAGAAGTCTCAAGAGGGCTGTGTCTGTAAGCTGCTGAAGGGGAAACCACGGCTATACAGACATTGTGGCTGGGCTGTTAACTATGTGGAGAAAGGTTTCGCTGGACCAGAGGAGGAAGAAAAATGGAAAACATGCCATGCCAACATCTCAGCTCCTAATTTTCTTTGAGGTGCACTGTGCAGTCCTTGGCAGCTCTTACCTCTTCTCAGGGCATTCTGGGCGTCTTGGGTCATAGCATCAGCTTCATCCAAGATCACTAGTTTAAACCCTTTCCTGGGAAATCAAGCAGCAAATCTTAACATTTATCTAAATCTCACTTCAACATCTAACCCAAACCTCCCTCTTTGTGTTCATGCCATCAGGCCCTATCCTGAACTGTCCAAGGCTGACATGGCTGGCCACACAGACAGGAAAGGCTCCAAATGCCTCCCACCCTTAGCAAGAAATGAGACTTCATTACATTCTGATGTCTCGTCTTCCCTCTGCACGCTAGCCTGTTACTGTGGACCGCTGTTGTTGGCGGTTTGGATGCTGGGCATGGAATCCAGGGCCTCACACATGCTAAGCGTGGCCTCTACCACTACCCTGCACCCCAACCCTGTTACCTGCTTTTTTCTATCTGCCTGACTCATCCTCAAATCATTTCACCTTTTCCCCTTCTTTTTTAAACCATTATCCTAGTTATCCTTCCTCATCTCAATTTACTTTTAATTCAAACCAGCTCATCCAGTCTTAGATTGAATCAATCCTTATTAAGGGTCAAGCTAATGCTTCCTGAAAGTGCTGTTAATGTAGGTTTACATAATATTTTAGCTTAAATTTTACATTATAACATTTCTTCCCACCATCCCTGTACCTGTATCTCTTTTTCATGGTTGCTTTTGACAGTTGTATTTTTACCTCTAGAAACTGACACTGGGCAGATGAAAAGAAGTAAACTGTATCCTTCCCCTCACCCCCCATCACTCTCTAGGGAGAGAAATCATATGATTAATTCTTACTTAAATATCGTCCTTGTGCTGGCAAAGCTCAGGATTGGTCCCCGAACGATATCGATTCCTCGGTCATCAGAAGCATTCAGCTACATGAACAGAGAAGCCACAAAGAACAACATTGTTCATTATCTGTGAATTCTTAGTTTTAGTCTACTTATCCATCCAACTCAGCAAACTAGGTCTGATGACAGCTACAAGACATTAAAAAAAAAATCACAGTTGTACTCAAAGCTCACTAAATCATTGAAGGGTCTTAGACCCATATCTGAAGGGCAGGTATTTTTCTTGCAATAGATAATATAGATTTTTGTAATATAAGTGTACCTGTTATGAAAATATAAAATTGGCATACTTGAACACAGTAACTTGAAGACGTTTAAAGGAAGCGATAGTTTTAAAAGATGTTGGTTGGGGCCAAGTGTGGTGGTGCATGCGTGTGATCTTAGCACTTGGGAGGCTGAGGCAGGAGGATTGTCTTAAGTTCAAGGCCAGCCTGGACTACATAGCAAGTTCAAGGTCAGCCTCAACTGCACAGTGAGACCCTGTCTCAAAGCAAACAAGTTGGGATATAGAAAACCTGTACATTAACTGTTATCACCCCAAGCCTGCCTGGGTGTGGGGAGGGAGCTAGTGTAAGCACTTGGAGCAGACTGACATGGCTGGCCACACAGACAGGAAACGCTCCTGTGAGATGGGCCCTGCAGGTGCGGCTGCTACCCCACGTTAACACGTTAACCCCCAAAGCAGGTCCGGGCATCATTCTCTTCCTTTCTCTGACCCCTCAGTATCCCTGTTGGCCAAACCCTAGCAGGAGCCTGAGGGCAAGGGAGCTTCTAATCAGTGCATCCAGCTAAGGACACGGTGGTAAACACTGGAGAAAGGATGCAGTGGGATACACAACAGATGGTCAAGAACATAATGACCATAAAGTATGGTTTGGATAAAAGTCAGCAACAGCAAAGAAAAATGTCTTGCCCTTCAACTGCCCTCTAGCTGACAAATGCCAGTATGGACAAAACTGACCATTATTTGAAGTAAAATATCTTAGTTCAACTCTGCTTCTTTCTCAGCTGCCAGTGGGGAACTTAAATAAAACTGGCAGAACAAAAATTAAGAGACTGGAATTCTTATTTACTTGTAGACAGAGGATAATTCTATGCATTCTATTTACCTCCAAGACCATGGAGCCAAATTCTTTATCTTTGTATAGCTGTTTAGCACAGGCAAGAATGGTAGATGTCTTTCCTGTCCCTGGAGGGCCATATAGGAGCAGGTGTGGTAGTCGGTCTTCACTGATAAATTTCTGAACTGATGATCAGGAAGAGACAGAGAGAGAAAGAGAGGCACCATCAGTCTTTGGGAACTGCCTCATTCAATGTAGTGCTTTAACCCAATGCAACGTCCCAACCAGAGGCAGATGCAGGAATGAGAAATCTTAAAGCCATATTCTACAAAGCTTAACAGAGACAATATCACCAAGAAGTGTATAAAGATCTTTCAAGTAGATAACAGCAGTTCACACATGGATGCTTACTGGTACTCAGAATGTCCTGATGAGAAATGAGATCATTCAGTGTCTGTGGCCGATATTTTTCAACCCTGAAATACAAATTATAATGTATTACAACACAGGTAACTGTAAGATTTTTTTCTTTACATGCAAAAAAAAAAAAAAAATCCTTTCACATCCTAATTAAAAGAAGAAAAGAAATCTTTTATGTTTTAATATAGGCCTTTTAATATAGACGAGGAGCCACTTATCCTCCACAGAACATGTAGTGATTTCTGGAAACATTTTAGTTGTTGTAACTAGGCAAAAATATGCAACTGGCATCTTGAGTTGCATATTGGTGCTAGGGATGTTGCTAAACATACTATATCACACAGGACAACTCCCGTCTACTCCCTTGCAGCCTGGCATCAGGTCCCAAATGTCAAGTCATGTGAACCTCCATCAACACCTACAACTCCAAAGTGAAACCGACACTAAACTCACGTCCAAGTATGGATCAACACAAGTGGATGAAGTGTGGGCTATACATGCAATGCAGTATGATTTGGCCATTAAAGGAGTGAAGTACTGATCCATGCTGTGACGTGGAGGAACCTTGAAAAATGCTAAATGTAAGAATCCAGACACAGGGGGCTGGGGATTTAGCTCAGAGGCATAAGCGCCTGCCTTGCAAGTGTGCGGTCCTGAGTTCAATCCCTGGTACCGATAAAAAAGAAAAAGAAAAAAACAAACAAAAAAGAAACCAGATACAGAAGGCCTCATACCGCATGATTATATGAAATATGCAAAATAGGCAAATCCATAGAGTCAGAAAGAAAGTGGTCCAGGAGCAGACAGGAAGGTAGATGAAGTGGCTGCCAATGAGTATGGTGGGGTTTCCATTAAAATTGAAAATTATTGGAACTGGATACTGGGATGGCTGCACAACCTTCTGAGTGTACTCACTTATTATACACTTTGAAATGGTTACAACTGGAAATGTTATGGTTTTTTAACCATAACAAAAACAAATTTGTTATTGGACAAACAACTTGTAGTTTTCTTAAATCAAGCCAAATCCCACTGAAGTCTTGCATCACTAGGAAATAGCAGTTGCACTGCGATGATTGAGTGCAGGTTCTGAATTGAGACCACTTGGATTGAAATCCAAGACTTTTTCTAACCCTTGATCTTAGCAAGTCATTTAACCTAAGATGCAATTTTGGACAACAATAATAATTACCTCTTAGATCTTTTGTAAAAGTCTAAATATCTAGCAGGGTGCTTGCTAATCTAATAGCAAGCCATTCGGTTAAAAAAAAAAAAAACCCTGATTGTTACTATGGTTTTACTTTATTTAGAATTCGACAAATAGTCACATCGAAAATTTTGGCAGAGCGCGTTCTGGCTTGGAGACATAGGATCCAGTTCTTGGGCTGTTACCAGGTGCGAAAGCCATTTCCCATTTTTGGAAAATGGATGGAAGGAACCGATGAGTACCGGCATATTCTAAGTAGCACGCAGGCATCTGAGAAATCGGCGGGGGGACACGTCAAGGCAAAGCTCCGTGGCTCACCCTGGGGAGGGGGGTCGAGGTCCGCTAGCGTCCAGCCACTCGCCCCACCTCCCCTCGACCCCCTTCCCACCGCGACAGCCGAGCCTCCTACCAGGGCAAGTTCCTGATTTTGGCCGCCGCAGGCTGTTGCTGCTGCTTGAGCTCTGAGATCTCCATGGTGGAAAGACTAAAGTGACCAGGGCCTTGGCGGTCAAACACCGGTAAAACCAACCACAAATAGCGATCAGACCTAGAAACGTCGTACTTACAATCCGCGCGCAAACGCAACTCTCGCGAGACTTGGCCTTCTATTTCCGACTTCCTCCCTGAGTTCTGCTCCTTCGCAGTTGCTCAGCACCGGTTGCTGGGTTACCGGAGGCGCCGGCCGCCATCCTCTCTCCGGCTCCGCCCCTCCAGGCTGCTCTGAGCTCTCTCAGTTTCCAGAGAGACAGAGCCAGAGAGATGAGACCACGGCTGCAAGCGCCAGGCATCGTTACAAATGAAGGTCTCAAGGCCACGACTAATTCCAGCTATCACCAAGGTTCGGATACATGCCAAGGAACAGAAAGCTACCAGAGCTTTAAAAAACAAAAACAACATATGGTGCCCTTCTTGAATAGAGATGCTCATACGATAAAAGGCCTGCAATACCTTTCAGTCCCAAAGAGGGGAAGTGAATACTTGGAAGTTGAAAATCCCAAAGGAGACCACTACCTACCTATTCCCCAAATCCATGATCTGCAACCAACAAAATCTAAAGAGTCACTGTCTTTCTCCAATTGAAAACAAATAAAATAAACCCCCAGTTGGATGTGTAAGTGTGAATTGGAAAGGGATAATTAATAAACATAGAAGTCAAGAGTCTCCACGGTCTGAAATACTGAGGGAAACTGAGATCAAAATTTTAGGTAGGGCCTGGTGTAGTGTCGCGTACTTGTATTCCCAGGTACTCAGGAAGCTAAAGCTAGAGGGCTGTAAATTCAAGCCAGTTTGGACAATTTAGTGAGATCTGTTACAAAGTTAAAAAATTAACATAATAAAGCAAGTGTGTGTGTGTGTGTGTGTGTGTGTGTGTGTGTTTTAACATGGTAACAAGACAAAAGTACCAGGAGGGGGGTGAGGCTGCCCCTGGGGTATGATTCCTAGGTGGCTGTGTCTGTTGCATCCAATTACATCACTGTCACTGCTTCAGGAGCAGGGTGGGAAACAGGACAAATATGTGATGGTAGTTATGGCTGCACCCTCGCACCTGCCTGGGGACCCAAAAAAGGGGATTAAATGGAACTTGTGATAGGACAGTGACCTTGTTCTCTGCTTCCTCTCAAGGCTAACTTGACTGCCATTGTTGAGATCATAAGCACACCACTCCCCCTACTTAGCCTTAGCCAGGTTGCTTCTTTCCTCACGCAATTATATCTCCTCAAAAATGACTGTGAGGGCTGGGGATTTAGCTCTGCAGCACAGTGCCTGCCTTGCCGGTCAGGCAAGTAAGTGGTCATGAGTTCAATCCCCAGTACCTAAAACAAAACAAAACAAAACAAAACAAAACAAAACAAAACAAAACAAAAGAATTTGAGGATTAAACACAATAACATATATAAGATATCTGGCCAATTACCACTTACTGTCTCCCTTTTCTTTCTGTTATACTCTCCACACATCATTATTTTTGCTTCATATATTTTCATCTCAAATCCCAGCAGGTTGGCCAGCAGGGCTATCCCATAACCTGAGCTTTACACAACCACCATGGTAAGCCCCTGATTTGCTAAGGACCCTTTGCACTAGGGATGTGGTAGAATTAACTCCTGGAGCTAGAAGAGTCAATCAAGACTGGAACAAAATCTTGTAAAATTCCCTGTGTACCTGCTGTTCAGTTCCCTATGGATACAGCTTGACGTGACCGTAGCCATCTTGAATAATAACTGCCATGATTTCCTCTGAGTAACTAGCTTTTTTTTTTTCATAGTTTCCTGGTGAACCATAAATAGATACAGCTGTTAAAGTAATAGGTGGTGCTTTACAATGGGACCCTGGCTCCAGGCAAATACCTAACTCAAATGTTATCTTAAGACAAACCAGGTTCATTCCAGCCAAGATGAAATAAATATCATTCTTTCTGACCCAAACTGTGGGACTCCAACTTGTCTCGCTGGCACCCAGATGCATGCCTCCATCAGTAAATCCCCCAAGGAATTGCACTCTCTGCAGTCTTAGATCTATGTGCTCTTTCTTCAGTGTCACGGCTCCTTGGTCTGTTTTCATACACTTGCTCTCAGTGGTTCTGGAATAAGTTTGCTTTGAGTGCAGAATCTTTGTGTGAAACGTTATAGTCTGTATTGACAAAGCCATCAATCCTATACCTCCCCAGTTCGCCAAGAGGAGAGACTTTGGCTTACTCACCATATACTCCTGGTGCCTGGAACAGCACCTGATTCAAAGGAAGCACTCAATTAATAACTGTTTGGAGAAGGCATGAATGATAACTGCTGACTAAAATCCATGAGGCCATTATTACACTCCAGACACGTTTTTTCCAGGATCTTTGCACTGAGCTGCATTCTCACCCTCTTTTTAACTTTCTAATTTTGAGACAAGGTCTTACTAAATCACTAGTTGCCTGGACTTGGCTTGGATTTTCAGTCCCTCTGCCTCAGCTTCATAGAGTGCTGGGATTGGAGGTATGTGCCAGTATGCCTGGCTACACATTGTTTTAAAAGCTTTACACTTATTATCCATGTGCTCCCCAATTTACTATCATTCAATTCATGATTTTTTGACTTCACAACAGGTTTATGGGGTGTGATATGCATTTCTTACTTATGCAATATTTTTGACGAGTGATGAGTTTATTGGCACAGCCCATCTCCAGGGAGCAGCTGTGCTCACTCAACTGCTGCATCAGGCTGGACCACTATCTGCCCCACCTTGTAGATTTGTCAAATAATGAACTCAATTTCTCACTTTATTTATAGGGGACAGGAAAAGATTTTACCAAGACTTCTGATTCTACAGTCCAAGCTCTGAGCCACTACAGCAGTAACAGCAGGGACATCCTCTGGGAACTTGTTAGAAATGCTAATTATTCTTCCATCCCAAATCCGTGGAACCTGAAACTCCTCGGGTAGAGCCCTCTGTCTATAGTGTAATCAGGTCTCCGGGGGATCCTGTCCATTTCAGGTTGAGCCCTGTTCCCCACCCCATACTGCTTCTCAATCTTTGAGTTTCCTGGGATCGCACTAAGAAAAATAATGGGATCTGTCACACAACAAAATGTCAACAAATTGAGCAAGGAGGGTGGGTTTCATTCTTAGAAAAGACACAACCAAGGAACAAAAAGCAGATTAGTCATTTCCAAATGACTTTCCTTAGTGGGTGCTATGGTTTTGGATACCATTAGAATGTGACCTCCAAGGTTCCTGGGTGATGGTTTGGTCCTTGGAGAGCATGGCACACTGGGGACCCGTTAAGTGGTGGGTCTTACTTGGTTCAAGGTCACCGGGGCATCAGAAGTACTTTCCTCAAAAAGGGTTGATACCACTCTCACCCAGGCAGTTAGTTGTTCTTGAAAGATCGTTATAAAAGAGCAAGCCTGCCTCCTGAATGTCTCTGGCTTCCTGTCTTGCCATGATGTCATGGTCATTAGTCCCTCCCCAGGGGCTTTTAGCCTCTGAAACTGAGCCAAATAAAATTTTCTTTATACATTATCTAGGTATATCTTAGCAATAGAGCATGGACTAATACAAAGCAAAAGATTTTCTTAGGATGCCCATTTAGGTTGACTGGGCCTTTTTGAATTGGTTATCCTCATTTTTTTTCTTATTTGTTTTGGAAAACCAGTTTATTTTAAAGTTCAGCTTGATTATGCCTCACCTAACATGAGTGAATGCTTTCTGGCTGGTCTGGCTTGTTGGGGGCTTAGTTCAGGAGTTTAGTCCTAAACAATTCTCTTCCTACACATCAACTTTATTTAAAAGTATTCACACACATATTCTAGGAAAACAAAGCTAGTCTATTCCACGTCATTTGTGGGCATAGCTCTAATTATCTTTGTTTTTGTTTTTAATTAAAGACTGTTCCACTGGGCAACTAACTTAACATCTTTGGACCTCACTATTGCCAAGAATAAAATGGGCAGGGGTGAAGACTGGATCAATGATTTTTAGCTCCTGGAGAATTTTTAAAATTCCATGACTGGAAAGTCAGCTTAACCAATGAATCTGGTCTCCAGGAGTGGGAACCCCATATTAATTTTTTAAAAATTTTGATACAAGATCATGCTACATCGTCTAAATTGGACTTGAACTCTTAGCCCGTTGGATGCTGGGATTGTGGACAGGCACATGCCACCACGTCTGGCTTCCACACTGGCATTTTAAGAAGCATCTCAGGTGAGTCTAACATTCACCTGAAGTTGAATCACTCCTCTGGAAAAGCCAGTACCAGAAATTGATATTAAGAGAAAACAAGGGGGGAAGCTTCTGGAAATCTTTTCCCCATTTACTTTGCTGGTCCTTGCACTAGCCAATCTTCAGCTTATCTTCTAAAACCCCCCTTCTATTGGTTTATGTGAGTCATAAAGTCACATAAGTAGCCTATTCATGGAAGGGAGTTGAGTGGAAACTCTGCCCTGCCTCAATGTGACAAAATTTTCAGATATTAGTAGAAAAGAAATTTAGAAATAAGATACGGGATAGCTTGCCCAGTCTCTAGAAAGGCTAGAGGACTCTGTGTGGAAAATGGGACAAGCCATGCAACTTAAATCAAGATCAAAATTATTCTACCAAATCAAGTCGGGAGGCACAAAAACAACTTGCTGCTTCTACAGGCCATTGGATACTTCCGACTTTGCAGCCTCTAGAAACTGGATGTTACTTTCTCCAATTCCACTGTCACAAATAATTCTAATTCTGGCTCCTGTGCTGGGACCTTCCCAAAGTTAGCATCCCATTTATACGCTTGGGAGACGTGCCTAGTGGTCAAGCCTGGGTCCCATGCTAGTGAGTACTTAGTAGCTAGCTCTTGTATTTTTGGGGGGGAAAGTTCCACATCCAGATCCAATCAACCCTCAATGGAAAATGTGTTTTTAAAGTTACTTCTTTCTGTACTGGATATGTATAGACTTTTCCCTCACTTTTATTCCCTGCACAAAACAGTGGAACAACTATTTATATAGTATTTACACTGATGACTTAAAGTATACGGGAGGATGTGTGTAGGTTTTATGCCAGGACTACTCCCTGTTATATAAGGGACATGCACCTTCAGGTA